CAAAAAAAAAAAAAAAAAAAAAAGTTCCTATGCCTCTGACACAGAGACAGGGTACCCCTGGGCACCCTTGGGTGCCAGGCAAGCCCCACCTTCTACTCATCACCCCCCCACACACGCCCTGGCCATCTCACTGTATTCTACGTAATTTTCTTATTGCAGTATTTATATGGTGCCCATCTTCCTAGGCCACAAGCCCTCCGAGAGCAGGTGCTTCTTCTTTTTTGTTCCCTGGAGGATCCCAGGGCACAAACTGGTGACTCATACAATATACCCTCAGCCCACAACTGTTCAGTGAATGAAGAGCAGCCTCTTCCTCTTCAAGACTCGATTCCTTAGAATCATGTTGGGCCATGAGTTTAAACTGGGTTGATTTAGGGAGCTCTAGCAGCCAGCAGCAAAGTTAACATCAGAAAATAATTCCTAGGTAAAAACAAGAACTAGAAAGTGAACTCTTTTTTAAGAAATGTTTATTTATATCAAAATACAAAACATTTCTGAAGCAGAGTAATGTTACATGAGGAGCAATTTAATACTAAACTTCTTTTACTCGGTTTAACTTGAGACACTACCCGGGGTACCTTCACTGGCTACACATCTTGTCATTTGATGTGCCATATTTTTCTCTCTCTTGGTTCACTCACGTACTTGTTCGCTCATTTTGATTTTTAATTCAGGATATGAACATGCAGTGTTACTGGCAATGAGTTGGTTAGTATTCAGCAAGCCTGAAAATACCAGCGAGTGGAGCCTGGCACAGCAGCTTGACCCAAGCAGACTGCAAAGTCTCTCCCTAATTGAGTTTGGGATATCACTGTTTTTAAGCGGCAAGTCCAAGGCCGAAGGAATCACTGTCACTAGGGCAGGCATTATTGCTCAGGGCCATGGAGCAGTGTAGCAGAGGGGTCATCTACAGGGGGCCCTCTCTGTGGGCTAGGAAGGGGCAAGATAGCCAATGGGAGCCCAGCTGGAGAGTGGCAGCTACAGCAGACCCAGGTCCAGGAAGGGGAGGTGCAGGGAGCCTGCAGGAAGAACTCTCTTCCCCAAAACCCAAGTAAGGGCTGGAGAGAAGAAAGGCTCCTCTCAGTCCTGGCAGTCTGTGATTTGGTGGCCAGAGATGCCTGCCCCTTAGATGGGGCCTTTAGAAGTGCTCAGCATTTACAGAGTTTGAAGAAGAAGCACCCCACTAAGAATGTAGTTATTTCCAGGATACCTCCACTCCCTGACAGGAGAAACAGGAGCCAGGAAATGAGAGGGAGCGTGCCCCCCTCATCCCAACTGTCCCACTCCTGGGGCCCTTCTGGGTCTCCCTTTCAAGCCCCAGTTGGTGCATTCACTTTGGCATTGTGCACCTGTAAGCTCATGCATCCACATTCGCACGCTCACACACAAACATACACATATGCACACACATGCCACACACACCCAAGCACCTGGTTTCCTTCCCCTATCTGCTTGGGTAGCAGAACCAGGCCCCATCTCCACCACCACCCTCTGCTCCCAGGGCCCCCTGGGTCCACTGGTCCCCAAGACCCAGCCCCAGGCTTGGCACACACTGGCATTCCCAGGCTTTGAGAAGAGGGTGACGGAGCAAGGAGAGCCCCAGAGACAGGTTATACAGAGTGTAGAATATGTTTGTATAAGGCTTAGGTACAGCACCAATTTAATGTTTTGTAGTTTGATTTCTACGTTATCTTTTAGAAGAAAAAAAAAGCTTACTGAAAAAATAGTGTTTTTTATTTACTTTTGAGTTACATACCTGAAGTTCAAAAAGTAAGCCTCTAGTCACCATCTAAATTCACACTCAAAAGTGTTCTGTTCGCGGCTATACAATATGTTGGTTTGTCTAATTTGGAACCAAAGTCAGCCAACCAGTCAATACCATAAAGTCAGCTACTCATGATAACTGACTTTAACCAGTCCATTCATACATAAAAGAAAGAGAGAGAGAAAACACAAACCTACTCCCAACTTACCCACCCCAAATCCCTAGGTGGAAATCAAAGGAGAAGACGAAATACAGCAAGATCTAAAGAACCAGTGGGAGGAACCAGTTCCACCCTGCTGGCATCTCAGACAGCACCATAAAGCACCCTAGCATGGTAATGTAATAATACTCGACATTCAAGAAATGGAAACGAGGTTTGAACAGTCTTCACATGAAGACCCAGTATGAATGGGGGAAACCCCAAAGAAAGTTGAAGGAAGAAATCTCATGACGAAACCAAGAGTCAATCCAGACTTGTTAGAAAAGAAGAGCCAAAAGCAGGAGGCTGCCAGGCATCTGAAGATCAGAAGTCTGTTGGGGGCCCTGGGGAGGGTGCTGGGAGCTGCTCCTCCAGAACCCCTCTTCACCCCTACCCTCTGCACGTTTGGAGAACTCAGGGTGACAAGAGGCAGGGAAAATAACTGCCTCGTGTGCGATGGAAGAAGCATGTCCAGGATGGCACAGTCACTCCAGGTGGGAGAGCGTGAGTGGATAATGGGGCTGAGAGCTGCTCACATGAGCAGGAGGTCATCCCTCCTCGTCAGGCCATGGACAAGAATGGGCAACTGGTGATGCATACTCATGGCCTCCATCTCTAGCCCCACGAACAGCAGGTAGGAAATTAAATCTAAATAGAACTTGAAGTATTTCTCACTCTGATGGATACAACTTATTAAGTGCAGTGTCAGATCTGTCCTTCACCTCCCCACTCCTCATATGACGTTCTAGCATCCACATTATCCCACAGAGCAAACCCTCCCCATCCAGACTTCACAATGCAATAACAGGGACCCCCACCCAATGGCACAGCCACATCCTCACCCATGGAAGTGCTGCACAGGCCTGACTATACCCCCGTGCACTTCTATGTTGTCCAAGGCAGTTCCAAGGGCAATGGGCCAGCCCTTTCCTCCTCCCTAGGTTCCCTGTTGATAATGATCAGAGCTCAGAGCCCACACTGATCCCTGGAAAAGCAACTCGCAGCAGACTTATCTTCTCCATACTCTTGTTTCATGTAACAGACAGAGGTAGCTGAACTAGAACAACTCTACAGATTCTTCCAACCTCCTACCAAAGAAAAAAGCACCAAAATTCAATACCCCTTCCACTATCTAGGGACCAAGGAGTAAGACACAGCATAGGAGGAAGTTCAGAACCGTGGCAGTGGCTGTGGGCCTCAAAAGCTTCATCAGCAGACCCCTCCCACCCACCTATCCCATTAAGCAAGAGGTTCAAAAAAGAATACCTCACTTACTCCACACAGTCAGATCCCAATCCCCTCTGCTGCACATGCCTTTGTGAAAGGGTAGCTCTTCTGAGAAATGGGAGATTGATGCTGGGCTATCTGTCCTTTCCCCTCCAATGCCCAGCCTTGGACCCTCTCTGAGGTAAGTAACACATCCTCTCCAGGCTCCAAAATGTCAAGGCCCCTATCTCCCCTGTTTTCTCCAATGTGAAGTGCCCACTTGACAATGATAAATGGAATGGCAATGTGCAGGGTCTCCCAATCTCATGCACCCTGGTGCTGCTGAGGTTTCCAAGGACCGAGCCTTTGGCTCAATGTGGAAAGAGATGGAATGTTGAGGAACTCTGGGCCTCATGGAAGATGTGCCCTTTGAGGTGCCTGTGTGCTGAACTGACTGACTCCGCAGGTCACATGTGAGCAGGAGTGGGACAGAGTCTCCAGAGAAGCGAAAGGTTGCCTCTAAGAGCCGAAAGCATAGTCACGGAAACCCCTCTTTGGTAGCTCAATAGGAGGTGCAAGGTGGGAAGGGACACAGAATTTGCTGCTCTTCCTTTTACTCCACTGCCCAGAAAATCTTATAAGAAATACCTGGCTGCATCCTCTTCTGGCCTCCTGTGGAGGATACGGGAATTGGAGCCCCCCCAGGCCTGTTCTCCTGCTATGTCCTTGGACAATGGTAAATATTTTGAACAGACAATCCAGAAGCCCCTAGAACAGTGTCCTAATGAATGGTGGGGCCATATAAGATCCAATAAGAATCAGAAGCTAGACTCGGGCTCCACTCCAACCTCCGCTTCTCATAATACTCCTCAAATACAAAAAAAAGCCCTTCCTGTGATTGAGGCATCTGAGTTCCTCAAATGGTCAAAATCCATAGACAAGAGCTCTTGGAGAGCATCACATTTGGGTGAGGAAAGAGGGGCTAGTGTTGCCATATTTTGAGTTTCAAACAGAAATAAGAGATGAGAGACTGTAGTCATGAGTCTCCCCAGAATCTCTGCACCATCTGGCCCTGCACCAGCTTCAAACACATTGTTCTGAGCACTTGGCAAGTCAGAAGAAAGAGCTAGCGCCAGGAGCTGCCTGCTGAGGCATGTTGCCTTTGCAGCACATATGAGGTCTTGAATTCTCAGACAGGTATTCTTCAGCCCACACACACTTTGCTGCTGAAACTCAAGTGGACCCCTCCCCTCCAGAATCTCTCATTCTTGGTCACATTCTCCCAATATATTGTTCAGTTCTGTAAGTCACCAACTGCGTACCAGAAGGAAGGTCCCAGGAAGACCCATCCTCCCAGATCTGCCCAAAGTTAATCTCTTACCCCTGACTGTCCACTCATTGTCCTAGGACTGGACCATCCCATTTCCAACAGCATTTCATTTTCCAATTAAAAATAAATGAAGATAGCATCAATAACATATTTATACTAGATATTACATTCACACTGGTTCCAAAAAATCTGCAGCGTTAATCCCCAGAGTATCTCTTTTCCAAGACTTGGCCCACACAGTTAGCCTTGCAAACTCTCACCATCATATTGCCAAGAGTTGCTTAAGCCCAGGTGCTACAAACTAGGACAGCCATTACTAAGTAATCATGACCACTCCCTTTCCCAGCTGCGGAGCTGGATTCCTTCTGAGGAGCTGGATATCAAGCGCAGCCATATAGGAATGCTCTGTGGCATTTCCAGCTCTCCAGCACCCCCACAACATCAAGCATCTCACCACAGCGACCCCTCCCGGTGCCAAGAGACATTTGGACCCGAGTTCTCTGGGGTCTTCAGATCCCATAACTCCTCCACAATCTTCAGCTCACTCGTCCTTCTGCAAGTCGAGTTCTTTGTTTAATTTTAAAGTTTTTTCATATATACATATTTCTGTGAGAAAGACCCAAGCATCTCTGAACAAAGAGTGTATCCCAGGAAGGACAGAGAAGGAGGAGGCATCAAGGCATGAGCTAGTTTCCCAGACCGCTTGAGGAAAGTGACACAGCTCAAAGCATCTCTAAGCACAGGTACAAAAATAAAGCAAACTATATAGATAAGCTAGATAGATAGACTTTATATACGTTTTCTTTATATTTATATATTGTGCAGGGGCACAGGCCCCATGCATCCGGCCCAGCTTGCGTCTCTGGCTTGTCCAGTCCCACTTCGTGTGGACCGCTCGCCTGAGGCTCCCAGTGTAAGCCACTACTATTGCATCTGATCCTCGCTCCCCAACATAAGTTCCCCTGTCTCCTTAAAATAGAACACATTATATGTATTTATATAATTTTATATACAATATAAAAAATACACCCAAGATGGTGTATTACTAATGTGATCCTCCTACCAAAACAGAAGTTGTCTAGCAAAGAAACAGCCAACAAAAAGGAGGGTCTCCTAGGCCTGATGCTATTCAGGCAAAGCAGTGTGTCCCTAAAAATCTCTTGCATACACGCAACAGGCACACACACACACAGGTTCCATGCACACACAACAGACTCTCGCATACACCCAAAATACACATTTACTGAATCCAGGAAAGGAACACTAGAATAGACAGCTGGCGGGATTAGAGACCAGGGAGATGCCTAGCACCTGCAAAAGACAGGTAAGGGAATCCCATTCCTCTGACTCAGCCAAGGACAATGTCAACTCGTGACATGTCTCTCATTGTCCACAGTAGGCAACAGAAATACTCATTGGTAGAGAGTTTCCCTTTCAAGGACTGCAAGTTGATCATGAGGGTTAGTCCCCTCTACCAGATAGGAGGTTTCATAGATTCCCTAAGCCAGAAGGAAATAAAATGCCCCCAGGTTCTCATCACAGACACGAGGGGGTACTGGGCACTGGCCCCTTCCATCTACTTAGGTGAAACCCCAAACAGCCCAAAGCATGCTTGCAGTATTGCTAAGGCTGAAAACGCAAATACCCCTCCCCAGCCCAACCCCAGTACCCTCCCAAATTCCCTTCCCTACCCCAACCACTTCCCTACCGTAAACCTTGCACAAGTTCAAGATCCCTGGAGCCATACAGAAGTGCAGGAGGGAAGGAAAGGGAACCTAACTCGTGAGTATGTGGGGTACATGGGGAGAGCTAGCCCTAGGTCCTAAAATGAATCTAGGAAATCCAGCACTAGGGGCAGGGACATGGAGTTGGTGAGACAGATTTCTTCAAGACCCCCCCAAAAAAAACAGGCTCAGACAGGCATTCCCATCACTATGTAGTGGGATAGGAAGGTAGACAACCAAGAAGAAAAGAGGCTTCATGCCTATTTGGTTAGCTCGCAGTCCAGCTTTTCCAGCCAGCATCCAAAGCTGATAGCTGTTTCATCAACTCTCTTAAGAATCCCTAACCACTGCTACTAACCCATGCAGAAGAAAATTTCCAAGCAATATTGGTGACTGGCTGCTGTTCTACCAAAGTACATCAATCAAGATACCCTAACTTTTCTACCTCTAAGGCATGGCCAGCCATTAATAGTATTTGCAATAATGATTAATTTTTCCTTGACACAGAAACCCTTAGGATCTATAGGTGTCTTTGGACTAGACTCAATAGATTGGGAATTTTTCTATCAGCTTAAAATTTGATCCTGAAAAGCTTCTATCCACTTGGCAAACCTACACACAAAACATCTGGTAGGGGTAGCATGTTTGTTCCTGAAAGGCTTATTTGAAAGTATAGACAGGGGCCCAGAAATAAGGGTCTGGCCCTGTGCAGACACACTGTCAGAGATAAGAGACACTCCTAACCAAACATCTACTTGGTAAGAGTGCTAAAGTCCAATCTTGGCTTTGACCCTTGGTCTACTGACTTCTTTTAAAGAGGAGATTTTTAATTCTGCCTCTCAATCCAAAAGGAAGCAGAATGGAGACATTAAGAAAGGAAGAAAGGCTGGTACCTGATTTCAGGGTGAAATGCATTCCTACCTCACTCAGCTGTAGGCTGGTGACTTTAACCTTCAAAAGAAGAGAAAGACAAAACCTCAAGCCCTAACACCACCATGATCTGAAGGAATCCGCTGTAACCCAAGAAGGGTGACAAGCACAATTGCTGAGCCACCACTGTCACTGGGGATTTATGAACATCTTCAGATGGACAAAGAAAGGCAGCCTGCCACTTCTGCTTAGGAGAACAAACACAAGAAACCCCTGAGAACAATCTTTCCTTCTCTACTAACTTAGAGCTGGCCATTTCAAAACCAGTCTCTGAGCTCTGGACTTGAGGATACCCCAAAAATAAATACATCGAGCTGAAGCACATGACAAAGAAATCCATGTCTGGGCACTTAGTGTCAGAAGCTAATTCTAGAAAAATCAAGATCTCTTCTGAGCCACAGTCTGAGCCTGCATGCCAGCCTAGCCCCAACCTTTTCTCAGTGGTGAAGACCCCTCCCACTTCTGTCCCCAAACCCTCCACTGCCACCTCCCCTCCACCTGCGCCTCACTGGGAAGTCACTTTTTCTCCTTGGGATAATGCCCCAATGTGTACATTACACTGTCAGTGTGCAGATGTCCCAAGGAGAGTGGCAAGGCTTGGTGCCCTTGCTTGGGTCCCACCATGCTGTCCTAGAATCTCTGCTCCTACTCCATGACAGACCCAATACTCTACAGTCTTTCATTCTCCCACCCTGGCAAAAGATCAGGATTCTTCTCCATATTCCAGCTCTCTAACACCTCCTCCTAAAACACCCCAGCTCATCAATGACTATTTAACAGAGAGCTGGCCCCTGAGACCCCTCCTGAGCCCTCTCCCCAACAATAAGGCATCAGGATGCTAAGCCTCCATCTGCCTGGAGCCTGATCTGCTTTGATCTGAAGAAGACACAAAATGGCAGCCCAAGCCAAGAGCATTGGCAGAAAGGCTCCCAGCTCCCAGTGTCAAGGAGCCTCCCCTCATTCCTGTCTGTCTCTGCCCTTTGACTCTTTCCTGCTGCCTCCCAAATCCCTGCAATGCCCCCCAAAGCTCCTTTACATGCAAGCAAAGCAAGCCCAAGATTAACCATTAGCTGTTCTTTCCTAGGGTTCTCTACATATTAATAAAATGTACTTTATCTACAATTCTTCCCCATCCCACCCCAAAACCCCAAAAGAAGTTTGCTAACAATATTGGAAGAAACTACTCCAGCCACACACACCTCAGGTCTGATTCAAACCCTGGGGTGTGGCAAAGATGCCTGATGTTCTGTGGTATCAGTTTCTCTCCTGAAGCTATTTGTCAGCCTTGCCAGAAAAAAAGGAACTTCTACGTGTGAACCTTATCTAGTTTTCTGTGCAAGAAAAGGGCAGAGGAATAAATGGCTGAAGTCCATCTAACCCCAAATATTTTAGATAAAAAATGAAGATGAAGAATATGGTAAAATACTAGTAAGCACGCTCCCCAGCCCGTTGGTGCTGAAACCACCCCTCGATAGCCTAAACCTAGACCTTTGAGAGAGGCCTATGCCTTGCTGCCCCTTGGGACAGAGGCACTCTTCATGTTGCCAAAGTAGGCATGTAAATGGCCTCTCCCTCCCTGCACTCCAAGAGACTGTGAGGGAGAAAGGCTGGCCAGCAGGCAGCGTCCCTGTCAGATGCTGGGCTGGATCCAGCAAAGACAATCCACACACGGGCTTCTGCTCACAGCCATGAAGCCCACTCATGGCCAGCTGGAGTATCAAGAAACAGCATTCACCTCCATATTGCTCATCTTCTTCCCAAAGCACTTGTAGCCTTTCAAGCCCCTCAGAGACCAGCATATTGTCTTCCTGGTCTGTGGATCACCTACTGCCCCAGTAGCCACTGTTTTGAATCAAGATGATGCAGGACAAAGCTGCAGACAAAAAAAAAATCCAAGATACAAAAACAGGTTTTTATCTGAACTACTACTGCAAGGCTACCAGAGCCTAGAGGGGGAAGTCTGAAAGACTGATCTCCCAGAGTAGAGGGTAAAAAGTCCTAGGAAGCTTCGTAGTGGTCACTGCCCCTGTTCAAAGGCAGAGTGCAAAGGACATGGGTTCCTAGAAATGGCTACACTCATCATACAGACTTGCATTTATGTGTCCACATGCAGCACTTAACCGGGTTCCCGCAACACCTTCATCCTCCATCCCATGGGTGAAGAAAATTGTATTCTGCCAACTTCCTCCGAAGTCTTTAAAGGAAGGACCAAAATAGCTCCCAGAGGTGCAGGAAGGATGCTGGTCTCTAAGGACACAGTCCACAAGAAGGAAGCCATTTTGGGAGGAGAACAAGTCTGAGGCCACTGAGGAATAGGGAGGCCTTGTGTCCCTTCCCCACCCTGGCAATGCCTCAGCAGAGCTGCCACCCAGTGGCCAGCAAAAGCACAGCTCCTGCCATTTGGTCTTTTCAGCTGAGGTAAGGGGCAATGCCAGAGGCAAGAAAAGAAGGCAGGAGTCAGCACCTTGTTAGCACGGGGCCCAGGAAAGCGTAGACATGGCCACAGCACCTCAGCCACAAGCTGCTTCCTGGCCCTGGATGACATCCCAGTGAAGCTTTCCATCTCAACTTCCCTTTCTTTCCTAGCCACAAGGCCCAGACAGCTTCAGGGTCTAATTCGTACTAATGTGCAGCAGCCCTGATGCTCCATATTCACACTGCACCCCAGGACCTGGGCTGGCCATCCTGATAAAGGAGTCACACGCTTCAAAAAGGGGACAGAGGCCACTGTGACCCACTGTGAGCCCCACATCTCACACCAGCTAATAGTTCAGACAGGCCTGCTCCTGACAGCCCCTGGGAGATGCCCCAGGAGTGGCCCATTGTGGCACAGTGGCAGAGACAGCATCACCGCTGAAAGGATCACAGAGAGCCACCCAACTCTAATTTTAACTTTACCAGAGCTGCTAGCCAAGGGTCAAGTGACTTCCCAGGCTCCAGAGGAAGGCATCTGGTGTTCACCCCAGGCTGACAGCTAGTCCTAGCAACAGAAATCACCCTCTGCACCTCTTTCACCCATGTCCATAAATGAACTGTGATGGTATGCCTTGCATGGTGGAGCCAGTCTCCTGCTCACTAGGAAAGAGAAGGAAGCACCAGGCCTGGCTGGCAAAGACGTCTGTCCCCAAGATGGAAGAAGCTCTAGCAAAATGACCAGCTTCCCAGCCCTTGGAGGCCACGCCTCTCCTCTGTCACTGAGCCAAGCCACTGGCAGCTACAGTGAGACCAGCAGAAGCCTGCTAGGGCTCTGACATGGCCAATGTCCAAGCAGGTCACTGGGGAGAGGTGCATGTCCCCAAACCACAGGACAGCAGCACCAAGAAGAAAACACTTCCAGGAACTCAGTGGCTCCTGCCATCCTGGGCCAGACCAAGCTCCAGGAGAAGAGGGGATGGTGAGGGCAAACACACTCTCCACCCAACCCTCGGCCCTGTGCCCTTCTGGAAAAACAGGGACATGCCTGAACAGGAAGACTGCTTTGCAGAAGCTTCTGAGTGCTGACAGTTTGAAGTAGGACAAGATTTTGGCAGAAGGACTAGGGCCAGGCCCCCAGCCACCCCACCCCTTCATTCCTAAGCCAACTTGCCTTTGGCTTACTGGGAAGGAGCACCCTCACTTCACTGGAGTCCACACTACAGGAGTGTCGGTCCTGAGGAGGGAGGAGGACCCCAGGCAAAGCAGAGTGGCAGACAGCACATGGTGAGGATGCAGAGGACTAGCGGTTGGCTCTGCACAAGTGGCAATTAATCAATCTGGAGCATTAGCTTCCACAAAAGGAAAGGAGGAGCTGATCAGCATGGTGGAGCAGCGCCCCAGAGTGCTGAGTAGAGACAGCTATAAACAGAGTCGTGGCAGCTTGGGGCTCTGCACAGATGACTCCAGATGGGAGAACCTTTGGCCACAGGCCTCCAAGCCCAGGCTGGACCAAAAGGAACTGAGGCATGGTCAGATGGGCTCCACCACTAGGCAGCTTCCACTTCGGAAGTGTGAAACAAACTGTGGAGAAGAAAGACGCCAGCCTGGCCCTGTGCCTGCTCACCCTTTCCTCACCAGCAACCAAGCAATAAAGGCTTGTGTTTTGTTCAGTGGTAACTCACTGGTAACCCCAGCTGGTCATCTCAGTAGGGCCCCATTTCTGCTCTGGATAGGAGAAGCTAGAGAGGACAATGGCGAATTTAGCCAAGAGGCAGGAACAGTCCCCCGAGACAGACAAGAGGGCACCCCACCAACCGTGGCCAACCCTACTCACAAACCCCAGCGGTCCACTACCCTCCTCCCTTCCATGGACCACAGAAGAAAACAGCACTTTGCTGTAATGTACATATATATACACATAGAGAAACCCACCAACTACAGAATGTGTATTTGTATCTATATCTATATATATGTGGAGTCTGGAAGATGGGACAGACGTCCAGCCCTCTCCCACAACTCAAAAAACTGAAACAGAAGCAGAGCAGTAAAAGCCATTGCTTTCCTCTTCTTCACTTCCAAAGACATCTGAAGAGGTGAGAAAATTCAATCTAAGTGAAGAGGGGAAGGTGGGACAGAGCCAGATGACCTCCTGTCGTCAACTCACTCCCTGACTCTGACCACAGGCAGAAGATCGGCCCCCAGCCTCTGTCCTGTGGACGAGCCCAGCTGGCTAGGACCTGGGGGAGAAGGGCCACGCAGGACACTGAGCCATCTCTTGGTGGACAGAAGGGGACAAGGCCCGCGTGAAACCCCTCCCTACCCGCAGCCCCACCCTGCCCTGGGGACACTTAGAGTGGTGTGGAGTCACAGCAGAGTTGCGTGGCCTGGGTCATCCTGATCCACGCTGTTGAGGATTGCTGTCTGGTCTTCCGGAAGCTGGCGGTGGCACAAGTCTGAGAGCCGGGCAAAGGGATCAGGACGAGAGTGTCTCTTCTTCTTTCGGAGGCAGACAGCTTCATCGGGCCACAGAACCTGAGAGTTGGGAAGCTGCTGAGCCTGAGAGGCAGAACCGTCTAAAGATGAGAAAACAGACACACAAAAGAAGAGAAAGGGGATGAAAAGGCCAGAGTGTACACTCTAAGCTTCTAATACTGAAATAAGAGTATCTCAGCACATGGGAGTTGAGACCAAACCACTGCAGAGAATGCACCTCCTTGACTGCTACAAGGACAGACAGCCCAGCCCTGCTCCCTTGTTCTAATGAGTCAGGGAAGGGAGGCGGAGATGATTCTTCTTTCTGGAAATTAACAGATCTCCCTGATTAATCTATAAATGTTTCCTTTGTAGTGCCTCTTCCAGGTGCCAGGAATTAGGGCTTCTAAGAATGGGTGGGGACTCTACATTTTTCTCACTTATTCCAAGCAATAATAGATTTTAATGACATGCAGTAGAGTCAGGGTGGGACTCTGCCTGGCCTGTGGTGGCTACTTTTCTACCTAGTGGCCCTTCTGGGGACACAGAAGAAAAGGCTTTGTCTTCTAGATTACATTTAGTACACAAGCAAGGAGGAAGGGGCACATTGTCAAAATGTAAGAAATACAAAAATAAAGTTTTCAGATGCCGACGAAAAAGGATAAAATAGGGTCACATGATAACCACTGACCAAGGCACTGCTCCTGTCCCATGAAGGTTAGTTCTTTAAGGGTGACTTGGATTCTGAGCCTTCCCCAGATCTGAGGGGAATTTATTCCCATCAGAAGGGAAACCCAGTGTCAAGAGCAAACGCGGTACGTCCCAGAGGTGGTCACAGTGAGGTTGCAAAGACAGGCAGGTTGTCAAGGACTCTGATATCTGTTCTGGTGGCAAGGAGAAGCCATGGGAAGGTTTCCATCAGAAGCACATATGTGCACACATACTGTCACATTCTCTGAAGCTATGGTGACTGTGCAGAACACATGCTGTTGTCGGAGCATGGACAGGGCCCCAGAGCTACTTCCAGGTTCTGCAGCAGCCCAGACAGAGAGGAGGGAGCACACACTGCAGTTTGGAGTGGAGACAGCAAAAGTGGCAAGATTCGGGACATGTTATAAAAGCTGAGCCGACAGACCTTTCCAAGTGAATTAAGAGGGCAAGAGAAGAATGCAGGAGGAAGCCACATGAACAACTGGATAGGAAGCAGAAGTAGTGCTACTTAATAAACCGGAGAAGACAGGTGAAGTAGATTTGGAAAAGATAAGCCACAGTTCTACTTGGGATACTTGGCAGGCTTATAAAACATCTAAGTACAAGTTCAACAGTCAACTGCAAATATGAACGTGACCTCAAAGAAGATACATGGACTGAAGACAGACATTTCAGAGTTGTCAGAACAGAACAGGTACCAGGACCACTGTCACCACGAGAGAGAACAAACATCCGCTGTAGCTTATTCTGCAATAAGCAAAGAAATTTGACTTATTATAAATTAAAGTCAGCGCCACATTAACAATGGCATTTGTTGATGGTGGCCCCACAGATCATGCCACCCAGTGATACCCTGGCCAACCTAGCTGTGCAAGTACACTGTGTGATACTCATTCAGTGACGAAGTTGACTAACAACACATTCCTCAGAATGTCCTTATCACTAAGTGACATGTGACTGACTGTACACTCGCTCACACACATACATAGGATAGGTAGGTAGGTAGACAAGACAGACAGACAGACAAACAGACCTTAAATTATAACAGGTTTAAGTTGGAAAATTCAGCTTTGGGCTTCAATTTTGCACCAAGCCGTAAAATACTCATTTTGTTTTTCTCTGCCTCAGTATTTCCATCTATCAACTGGCAGGAAACTGATGCCCCCCTCACCAAAGGCTAAATTCTTAATCAGCCATCAGCATCTCCCAACAATGTAGTAGGCTTCGTCTCTGCATAACACTGTTTTCCATAACCCTAGCCCTAACGAAACTTACTCCACAGTTGTCATCAAAGATCTGCAAGGAAACTGCTGAGCATTCTTCCATGACAGCCTGCTCTAATATCCCTAAAACCATCAGCAGAGAGAATTTGATAAATATCAAGGAATTTTCTAAAAGAGGGTTAACTTATTTTTATACAGTCTTAGAAGGTACCAATTACTGCTGAATAACCATCAGACATACTTCAGTGGAATTGTCCTTTATCCAGTAGGGAAACCTTACTGCATCTACAAAGAAAAGTCTGATTACCTTGCAGAAGGTAGTCCTATGCCATATGTACCCTAAGCCCCATCATTCCCATGTCAACAGAAGGCTTGACGTGATACAAGAGAAATAAATACATAAGCAGATTGGGACATTTTCAAGGTGTACTATAGGATGGGGGAAAAAAAAATATATATATACTATTTATGTTGTTAAGACATAAATTGAAACAATATCCTGTTTTTTCTAAAGCTGTAGGACAGAAGAGGCTCTGTGGGCTGACAAGCCACAGAGCGATGGTCCCTAGTTGGGGGAGGGGCTGGAGGGAGGGGAAGGCAATCAGATTTTCACCTTTCTTGCTTTCTACATGAAAATCATGTGATTACTTGATAATGAATGGCTAAAAGGAAACCAAGAACAAGAGAAGTTGGTTGATTCAATTCTAGAAAACCCCAGGCTCGGAGCCTGGGCCTGATAATCCTCATCCTTAAGGACAAAGCTAGGTGGAAAGAGGTACAGGTGCTTCCCACCATTTACCGGATCGTTTCTTTGACTTCGAGGAGCCCTTGGATGACTTTTTGGGCTTCTTTATCCGTTGGTATTTCAGAGCCTCCAGCCTCTCAGGTGCAGCAGCATTCCCGGGAGCAGGTGGGAGTATTCTGCAAGGGACAATTAGAGAGGTACAGGTCAGCTCCCGGATGGGGGAGCTTTGGAAGAGGGACTGGAAGAGAGCCAAAAAGCTGGCCCACAGAAGGATGGAATCCAGGGGACGGAGTCCAAGGTGTCCACTATGATCCCTTGACGCCTGCCTTGCTACTGCTCCTAGAAGAGAGAAAACCCAGAAAGTTCCAGCAGCAGGTGGCCTACCTCACGTGGGAACCAAGCTGTAGAGTGATGAGAGGACCCTAGGAAAGGGAGAGACAGACTTTAATAGTGAGCTCCATCATATCACTCAAGCTGGGATGAATACATGTCAAAGAAGAAGCAGGCTCAATGTCTGTGGTTCCTAGAAGTCATCACAATTAAGACCTTCAACTGAAAAGTAAAAGGGTAGATTAAAGCAGGAGGCAAGCAATTCCAGTCCCATTTAACTGTCCACCAGCTCCAGAAGGGGGAAGGCTAAGTGAGAACCCCAATGCCCACATCAGTGAAAACTCCATAAAGCCCAGTTTCACTGTTCTTTCCATTCATCTGCAAGATGCAGCCAGAACCTCCACAGTGATGGCAACAAACTCTTGCAGGCCAACATAGCAGAAGTGTTGCCTACTTGACCCTCTGCAAACAAGGTTCAGATTTGCTTGGTCTTGAAAGAAGACAGAAGAAGGAAGAAGATTATGACTCATATGATATCATGAAGAATGTTCCAATCTGCAGACTTCACAGAGCCCTTGCTGTTGGTCACAAGCATCCAGTGAAAGCTACATGTTAAGACTCAACAGAGATGGTGAGGTTGTAGGGAGAGAAAATTCTTGCATACAGGTCCCTCTTTCTCCACTCCAGCTGGGGAATGGATGTTATCTTTTGTCTGATGGATTGACTGCATGGTAAAGACACAGTCAAATATTTAACTAGAGCCCTGCAGTCCAGGTATCACAGGGAATTAAAACAGTAGTATATGACAATTGTGTATTTTGGAGAGAACTTTTCAAGAGTCACAAAAGAAGAAAACCTAAAAGAATGTTATCCATATCATTTCTTCTCAAAGTAAGCCAACTTGGAGCCTGAAGAAAAAAGGGACTTTAGGGGAAAGGGCACTCTTTCTTTTCACCAGCACACATTGGCTCATGATTAGAGAAGTAGGGATGTTCTAGAGTTATGGCAAATGGAGGTAGCATGCTCTTCCCTTCCTCAGCACCCATTTCTCCCCCCGTCATCTCCACCACAATTTGGTTTTGGTAAATCCTGATCAAATTACAACCTATGAGGACCAAGTCCCCAAGTGTCAGTGAGACCCATGAAGTCATAAAAAGTAAATAAATAAATGAATAAAGATGAAAAGACTGCATCCCCATTTCCCCCACATCCGATGTCTCTGGGAGCATGGGGAAGAGACTTCCACACAGCGGAGGTAAGTCTCTGGTCTCCAGGGTCTCCTGACACTACTGGCCATGGAGTAACCTCTACCTTCTTTGATGGCCATTGTTCTAGAGTCCTTCAGAGCATAAAGTACCAAGAAGCTCCCTCAAAGTTCAAGTCAGAGACATCTTCTCAATGCTCCACAGTCCCCAGAAGTAGTACCAATTAACTCACATGGGCCACACATCTCATAGAGAAGTAGTCTAGCTCCACAGAAATCAGGTCTTCCCCAAAGACCCAGTATGCCAATGATTCCTTTCTCTTCTACAAAGACTCACAGAGATTTATAGTAGTGGCAGCAGCTATAAAGGAATTTGGAGGCAAAGGCAAGAGAGAGCCTGCCTTCCTGAGGCTGAGGAAATGTCCTGATCTCCTCTTGGCCAAGACCAGGGCTTCTTCATGCTCCCTAAAAAAAAAACATCAAAGGTATGAGTCCATCTGTTCAGTTTCTCCACCTTCTGGTTGAGCCAACCTCTTCAGAAAGACTAAGCACGCTAAGCGATGGATGGTCTGAGGCGGCACGTGATAGGTAAGGACAGTGGCTACCAACATAACCTTGGATGATCCCAGTGGCAACACAATCTCAATTACCCCCAACCAACAAGCAGAAGCAGTGACATGGAGGGCATTTCCTCCTCCTCTCCTTAACTGCAGGAAAGCAAACTCCACTTGCCTGGTGAGATATTGTGGGTAGAAGGCAAAGGAAACCTACTCAGGGACTTGCTATGGCCAAGGAAAAGATGAATCCATTCTCTGTGTACTGCATAGAAAGCCAGGAGTTTTCAGATCGGTCCCAACTAGCCCATAACAAATGGCTCCTCTCCAGTGAGGACAGTGCCCAGCAGGAAACTATACCGGGCAGCCCTAAAAATTCTGTCTCCAAAGCAGGTGAAACTTCCAAGGCATTATCACTGTTATAACCAATATATGATTATTATTATTATTTTCATCATTAACGTGCTTATCACTTACCAGGCTGGGCACTGACCTATGTTCGCTACAGTTGTCTCTAACATCTACAACAACCTGCAGAGCTAAATACTACATTGATCCCATTTTTTATATAGAGAAAATGAAGTTTAGAAAGGTTAAGCAACTTACACAATAATCTGACTCTTCACTAAACTGCTCTTTTTTCTCCCAATAAACACAGGTGTACAAGCTATAACAGAACAACACTGCTCCCACACTACATGTGAGAAATAAAGTTGCCCTGCAACAGACCCGCTGACCCCTGTGCCCCAGGGTCAGAGGCAGGTAAGTAAGACATACCAGGAGGGGGAAACCAGCTGAAGTTATGGCTTTGGGCAAAAGTTCCCAAACAGTATTGATCTATAGAGGACACGAAGCCAATTTTCCCTTGAGAACCAGCCAGACTCCAGCCCTTCCAGGACACCTGCTGCCCGGCTATTTCAGTTCCTGGCTCAGCACTCAAACACTGCAATGTGAGAGAAGATGGTTCTCAGATGCATAAGGACACTTGTCTAATGCCACAGGCAAAAATAAAAGCAAGTGTCTAGCAGGACAGGTGGAAGGAAGGGGCTAAGCAAAATGGGTCTATTTCTGGTAAATTATACAGAAAAGATACGTGAAATATGTTCCTTCAGATTTTACCAACAGCACAGGAAGCCCTCTGGAGCCAAACTGCAATCCCTTTTTGGTAGGGGGACCATGTCCCTGTCAATGCAAGCCTAGCTGGAGCCTTTCTGGTTGTGAAGTCTTTGGTGCTAATGTCTCTGATAAGAAGCTGAGATGAAGCAACTCCTTCCTAACCCTGGAATAAAGCTGTGAGGTAACCAGACTCTGACCTACAGAAGGCCATTTACAACACAACCTGCCCGTGGGCACTCTGGGATCTCCTTCCTATCAGCCTAAATTCATCTGAAAACACAGGAATGCTACAAATGCTGGGCTTCTTATAGGAAGTAAGGTATGGAAAGATAAAAATATCAAAGCCTATGGGCTTTTCTGGGGCCTCACTTCCCATACATACAATTCTCTAATTATTAAAACTTAATTGCCTGGGATCAACCAATCTCCCTCCTACAAAAGTTCTTACTGACTCAGTTCTCTGCTTATTTAGGGTAGAGGAGGAAAGAGGCAACCAGATACAAGGAGGCAAACCTCAACACAGGAAAGACAAAACCCATCTGTACACATCTTCCTTCGATGCCTTGAGAATAGACTATACAACAAAGTTCCTAATCCTCCAGCCAACAAGCAGAGGCAATGACAAAAAGGGCACTTCTTTCTCCTCTCCTTCACTACCTGAGATCAAACTCCACTTGCCTGGTGCAACACTGTGGCTAGGAGGAGGCAGAGGAAACCCACTCATGCACATAATCGGGCTCCAGAAAAGGTGAACCCATTCTCCACAGACTGCATGGACTTCTTTGCAGGTCAGCCCCAACCAGCCGCCCACAGATAAGACTCTCTTCAGTAGGTCAGTGCATAAATACTCTGCCTCAGAACCCTGGAGAGGCTCCGGTCCAAATGGGAATTCCCTCCTATGGCTGGTCTAAAAAGAAGGGCTACCTCCTGCTTCCAGAGCCCAGTGTCACTGAGGTCACAGCAGATATTAAGGGAAAGGGCACAAGAAGGAGATGTGTGGGCAGAGGTGCACCAGATGGGAGCTGAGCAATGGCTCAGCCCCCAGCCATCCACAGAAGTACAGGTCCACACAGCACAACTCCCCACACTGAGATGGGAGTTGGGAAGAGGAAAAAAAGGGGAGAGAGAACAGAGGAGAGGTGGGGGAAACAAGTGTGGACAGAAGGAACAGGAGAAATCGAAGGGAAAGAAACAGCGCGAACAGACATAAACAAGAGGCGTCACAACTTCTCCAAGCAGGACGGAGAGGAAACACATGCAAAGGCACGGCGTGAAGACAGCGTCTGCAAAGGAGCCACCATCTCCCCATGGCCCCAGCAGCTCTTGCACCCCAGGGAGGTTCTTAGCAAGCAGGAGAGTGAGCAGAAGCTCCTGTTGCCCAGCACCTTGAAGGTCTAACTCAGAGGAGGTGGGAGGACTTCCTTCTCCTAGGCTGGGGATGCTGGCCAGGCCCGGGAGAGGAACAACAGTCCCTCGTCGCTGCCCCTGGTTTCTGGGTTTGCCACAGCAGTGGTAGGGTAGCTGGGTTCTCTTGGATGTGTGTGGTGGGGGGCACTGCAGAATGGGGGAGTGTGGTAGGAAGGGACAGATGTGAAGTAACAGATGGGAAGGGAGTTGCAAAAGCTGGGGTGAGAGAAGGTCTAAAGCTACTGTGCCCTTCGGGACAAGAGAAGTCCTAACTGGGGAGGTCAGGAAGATACAGAGAAGCTGTCACCTCTCTCCCCCACAGCATCCACACAGGAGGCCCCCCAGGAGGTGGTCTTGTAATGCCCTTGTGCTCCTGCCAGTGCTGGTGGCACATAGTTCTGAGGCCTTGTGGCCTCTGACAGTTCTGCAAGGTAGCTGTCTCTATGGGGGCTGCTGTTCAAAGTGAGTTGTGCAGCCCTGAGTTAGCAAAGTCAGCTTCCCTGGGCATGTCAAGGTGGGAAGGAACACAGCTACCGGCAGCCCACTGCATCCAGATGGAAGGCTCCACCTCTGCATCCAGACAGCAGGACAGTGTGCATGCTCCCAAGACATAGTCAGAATTAAATCGCAGTCACTCTGAGCCTCTTTGAGAGATGAGAGGGCCCAACAGTGGCCTCACCTCTTCGGCTTCCTGTGGCCACACTGGGAAGGAGCAGTGCTCTCCTCTCAGCTCCCTTATGCCTAGGGGAAGCTTGCTTTTCCCAGGGGGAGCTCCTGACAAGACTCCATAACAGTGTAACTCCAGGAGGACAGAGTAGCTACTGCAGGGATCTTGAATGCAATTAGGACTGGAAGGTGAGGTCCCACTTCATTCCTCTAACCAAAAACCTGCTGCAGCATACAAGGAGCATGAGGAAGTGGTGACGTTTTGTCACCCCTGCCCCAACAGGACCAGAGCCCAGCTGACCCTGAGGAAGCCCCAGATATTAGAGAGACTCCTGACTCCTTAACATGATTTAGAATCACTGAGATCCCAGGAATGCAGAGAGGAATCACAAGTCCAGGGTAAGATCCAAGCCTCTAGAGGTAGGCGGAGAAGGGAGAACGATGCCTGAGGCTGCTGGGAAAACAGGGCAGAACTGTGCAGGGTGGTGAGGGAGGATCCTGAGCATCAAGGTGGCCGAGAGAAGTTCTGAGAGTGCAAAGGCAAAGCAGATCATGGGCATTCTAGGTCCTTCGGGTGCATGCACAGTCCCAGCTGCCAAGGGAGGCTCTGGGATGTTGGCAGCAGGATGAGAGGGGACTGCAGGGGCTCTGGGAGGGGCTGGATGTGGACTGGAAGGCTAAAAGCTGCAGCCAGGTGGTACCAGGCTTGGCCCGAGGGGCAGCTGGAGCAGCCCAGACAGCACGATGTGGGGAACCCAGAAGCCATGGGAATCGAGGAGCGGCAGCTGTCCCCACGGGCAGTGAGGGGATGTGATTTGGATCCCCTGTCAAGGAAGCGATGGCCCTGCGGAAGCCCCGTCCGCTGCCCGCCCCCACCCGGCCCAGCCGAGGAGCTCCCTTACCTATTGAGCTGAGGAGAGGCTTGTCTCGACAACACTGCCCAGATAGCTGAGATCAATCAGAAACAAAGCAGTTACCAACACGGCCGGGGGAACCACCCACGCACACCCAGAGGGAAGGGGCACAGTGAGCAGAGTCCCACAGGCGAGGCCTGAGAATGGGCAAGGGAGGAGAGGAGAGAGACGGAGAACCAGACGCACGATGGAACAAAGCAGGTGAGCGTGCTGCACAAAGCACAGACAGGGGCGACGACAGCATCCTGCAGACAGAGTCGGGTGCCCTCCTAGAGCTTTCTCCCAGCCCAGCCACACCCTGCTCTACCCACGGAGTGCCCACCTGGTGGGGATGGAGGGTAGAGGTGACCTCACCCATCCAGGTACCAGAAAGGGTGGGAGGGGGTGGGGCGGGGGAGGGCACTAGCCGCAGCCTCCCAGGCCACCCCATCCCCTCCCACCAGGCCAGACTCCTCTGGAACTGCTCCCCGCCACAGGCTGCTACATCCACAAGAGACCAAAGTACAAACCGGAGAGCGGGAGAGGGAGGGAGGGAGGAGGAGCGAGTGAGGTGGGCGCAGAGTGGTGGCCGGCTCTTCTGAGTAAGTCAGTTGAACCCAAAGGCGATGGAGAAGGAAGAAGGAAGACGAGCCACTAACTTGAGAAGGGAGGACAGGCAAGGAGGCAGAGGAGAGGGCAGAAAGACAGAAGAAGAGGTGCAGACGGGCGTCCAGGCCGCTGTGGTACCTGGAACGCCAGCTGCTACAGTTTAGAGTGCGCTCTCTCAGGCGGGCTGATCGCGGGGGCGTGTCTGTCTGTCTGTCTGTCTCTCTGCAGCTTCCTGCGAGGCACACAGGTGTGTGGGGCGATGTAGCTCCTAGCACACAAAGCCTGAGATTTCCCTCCCATCCCAACCTCCAGGATACCATTCCTGGAGAGGCTATGGACAGGGGCTAAGTCAGTGCTTACTCACTAGGGAAGCTGGGGGCAGGAGTTTGGAACAGGTGGCTCCTGGCTCCAGGGTCCTGTTTGTAAGTACGGGCTGGGAAAAGGAGGAGGTGGGACACAGGTCTGTGGGCAACTCCAGGGAACCTGTCCCCAGCAGCAAGATCACAGGCACACGGAGGGCCTGGATCCCATGGAACCACTCTGAGTCCCTCTCAGGTCTGCCACGGCCCCTCCCTTTCCCACGATCCCTCATCAGCTGTGGGCCTCCTATGAGCTCAGGGATGGATGGAGAAAATCCCTCAGCTACTAGGGGGGGAAACCGAAGGCCACCCTGCCTCTGTGACTGCACCCTGCCAATGCAGTGGCCAGCACACCTGCCCAAGGAATGGCGTGTCCACACGAGCCCTGTCGTGGGATGATGGAAGGTGGTGGGCAGGTTGAGGCACTGGGGAAGGAGGTGGGCAGGGGAGGTGGCCGGTGGCAGCTCACACTCACCCTGAAGTAGGTAACGTTGTGGGGGGCTCGGGCCGGAGCAGCTCTTCCCCCATCCTCCGAGGGGAAGGTGTCTGTCCAAACACATCCAGGTTGTCCCCAGGCGCTGCGGGGGCAGGGCCCGGCGGAGGGGAGGGGTAGCCTGTGGCCAGAGTGGTGAAGCCCATGGCAGGCCGGTAGCTGGGGCTCCCGCTGCGGCTGCTCTGGGAAGGGGAACCCGTGGATGGCGTGGACTTGCGAGAGAAGCTGACCGCAGCTGGTGGCTGCAGGGTGATCTCTGACATCTCCGCCTGCTGCAGGAGGCCCGGGCGAGGCCGAGCACGGGCAGCGAGCTCAGGGGAGCCATTGCGGGAGCTGAGGGGGCTTTGGGTCAGAGGTGAGAGCCGAGAGGGCTGTAGCACCACTTGATGTAAACTGGGCTCGGCACGCCGTGGGCGAGGCCGAGCACGGGCAGCGAGCTCAGGGGAGCCATTGCGGGAGCTGAGGGGGCTTTGGGTCAGAGGTGAGAGCCGAGAGGGCTGTAGCACCACTTGATGTAAACTGGGCTCGGCACGCCGGGCCTGCCGGGGGCTGGGCCGGGGCCGGGGCTGGGGCTCATACCACCGAGTGTCCAGGCCAAATGTGCTGGGGCCACCATGCCCCCCCGGCTCGGCTGGCTCGGGGTAAGGCAACACAGGTATGCCCATACCTTGACTGGTATGTCTCAGCTGCCCCTGGCTAGCCAAGGATTGCACAGGTCTGTCCTGCCACTTGGCGGTTGGGGGCGCCAGGACAGGGCCCCTGCCAGGAGACTTGCCTGCCCAACTCTTGGGTGCCTCCAGAGACAGCATGCCTGGGTAGGCTGCGGGCACCTGCAGGGAGGTGGGGGGCATTCCTCGGGGCAGGCAGGCTTGGGGCTGTAGACTCTCGGCCACGTCACGGGTATGCAGCTGGTGGGGGAACATCATAGCTGGGGCTTCCAGGCCTCCAAAGGGGAATTCTGGCCGGCCCCAGGGCTCTGGGGAGCGCCCTCCTGTAGGTGTCTGAGTCAAGGGCAGAGTGCTGTTGGAAGCATTTTCTCCATTTTCCTCTGGGATGGTAGGGTGGCCAAAAGGCCCCTCAGAGTGCAGGGGTGGGGACGACATGACTGAGCTCAGGGGGCTGCCCACTTCCGGCATGTAGAAGGGTGGTGGCTCCACCTCCCCAGGGCTGCTGCTGCTGAGGTACCCATAATACTGCCCGTGGTGGAAGGGCCGGGGCGCTGGGGGCCTGGCCTGGCCTGTAGCCTGTAGCCGACCTCCCAGGCCACCCGGGCCCTCGAGCCCATGGGGCTGGAAGCGAGGACTGTATGCTGGTGGAGGCAGGTAGGACTCCTGGCTGGAAGACAGAGGGGTCAGCTGAGACTTCAGGGCAGCCACAGATGTGGGCACCAGAGGGTCCTCATTCTCCTCATCCGACTGCCGGAACTCAGGGTACATGTCCGTCTCCTCCGCAAAAGGGAAGCCCTCGATGCGCCGGGTCTTCAATGAGGGCTCAATCTCGGAGGGGTCCATCACGAAGCGGCCGTCAGGACCTCTGCTGATCAACTCAATGGGGGTGGTGGCCTCAGCCTCAGCCTCAGCCTTGGCCACACTGTACTTCCTGCTGCTGATGGCCCGCTTGGTTTTCTTGTACAAGGACAGCTCCTTCTCCCGGGCAGGGCTTAGCATCCTCTTGGCTGCGGGTTGGCCCTGGTCGTCGGAGGACTCGGACGGGGCACGGAGTGTGCGGATGCTCTCTGGACTCACCTTGCCCGAGGACAAGCTGCAGGCAGACAGCAAGGCCGTGAGGGCTGTGCACGCCCCCACGGCGTCTTCCCCTTTTGATGATCACTATCCCCAGGAAGGCAATGCTGAGGAAAGGGCCTGAGGGGCTGTGCCTACGATGAGAAACACTCTGGCTGCCACCAAGCAATCTAGACATGCACTGTCCACTGTGGAATGAAGAACCACATGCTCCTTTGCCACAGCCTGCCCCTCATTTGGCAGATGCTGGCTAAGCACATCTTTAGTCCATGGAGGTTCCTTTCCAGGTTGCTCAAGGAACACAGCTCATTTTAATACATATTAAGAAGGTAAATCTGCTAGGACGATAAAAATTACAGAAAAACATCATAAGGCTAAAGAGAAACGAAGGACCTACTAGTTTGGATCATCTACCACTCTCTTGAGCTTTGTGTACCGTTTAAAATTGACACACAGCCAAGTTTACAGGAAAAAACTTAGAAGCACAACAATGGGCCTAACCATGGCAACTGTCCACCGGTGCCCAGCCTCCCCTGCTACCACATACCGCCAACAGCCTGAAACACTTACGGAGACTCCAGGCTCTTTCTGCAGTGGGTGATGGACAGTGGGGGGTCTGCAACAGAAAAGCAGGAGGGAGCCCACTGAGGCCTGACCCACAAAAGCCCAGCTCTGACCCAATGGTGTCATAGGCAGGACCCGAGCAAAGCCACAGAGGGAAGTACGAATGGGCTGGTACTGCTGTATCAAGCTTAGGGGCCTGTGCCCATCACCAGGCACCCCTCCCTTCAGCTCACCTATCCTAGGCCCCACTGTCCCTGCTTCCTTCCCTTAGTCTAAACAAGTCCCCCAACATCTCCACCTGTAAGATCACAGCTCCTCTATTTCCACTTCTAGGGAGCCTGTGATGCAAGGGATCCACCCCGCTCATGGGGAGCACTTGACACAGAGCCAGGTGGAGCAGGGGGAATCAGCATACACCCACCTTTTTTTCGCTTGAGCTTGCGCTTGCGCTGCTTGTTGACAAAGCAGGCGGCCAGAGTGCTGAACAGGATGGCAGCTGCCAAGAAGCAGATGGTAGCAACAATTCCAGCCAACACAGGCCGGGCCAGCCCATCATCAGTCAGGTCCGGCTGCGGGAAGATGTCTGAAAGGAGGGTCACAGTGCTGGTGGGTCCCTTCCCTGGCCCATACCCCTACGCTGTGCACCCCACAGGGCTGGGGCTCAGCCTGCACACACCGTGCCACACTAAGGAGGCTTGTGTATCCTGTGAGGAGAGCAAAAGGGAGTCCACAGAAGCCACGTAACCTCTACAGAGCATGGGGATGGACAATCAGTCAGAAGCGACTTCCGCCTGGTGCTCTACATGTGCAGAGAACTTGGGTGTGTGTTGTTAGATCTCCTCCCTAGCCCAAGGAGACAGTGCACAGGAGCTGCTCCCATTCTCTAATGTACCCTGGCATGTACTGAGTACGAGCTCACGCTGCTATCAGTGCCCTAACCAGAGTCCAGTTTTCCCAACTTCCAGTCCGGGATTTTCTGCTTCCCTCACTCGTGCCAAGAGCTCAGAGATGAAGGTACCTTGAGAGCAAATTCTTAGAGCAAGGACAGGGACTGTTGCAAAGAACTGAGCCACTGCCTAACATCCACTGCCTAACTGGTCCCAGGACAGTCAAGCAACTTACTTCCCACAGCAAGGGCTGGCCTTGGGTATCGACACTGTGGAAGATGCTTGCGTTGGCTGGGACCATAGCAATAGGATCAATGCTCCCACTTTATGGGTGAAAATTTGATTTGTGCCCAAATTCAGAGCTAGTGAATGGCAGAGTCAGGACCAGGCCTTGTCTTTTGTACCAGACTCAGGGCAGTTTAGTCAGTAAGAGTCATGTGCTCCGGTCCATCAAAGGGAAAATCGATGCACTGTGACACACCTGGCCAGTGTACACTGCTGTGTCAATAATAATAATGGATAAAAATAATCCAAATTATGCCAATGAGTTGAGAGGAAAAGAATGCCACGGGCTTTGGAAACTGGAGCCTTAATTAAGGGCAATGCCATGCCAAGGTGGCTGAGTCCTGGCTGGCCTGCGAGGAATCGTCAGACAAGGCATGCTTCCTAATGAGAGCTGAGCATAAAACTATGAGCATGGAGAACAGTTCATGGAAATGAGCCCCCAGAATTCTGCAGCCTTCTGCTCTCTTCCTTGCTCCTCTACCTCTGAGTATAAGCCCTGGAGGGGAGCCAAGGTAGAAGCGAGCTCAATTCTGCTGCCTAAAGGAGACGGCTGTATTTTACCAAAAAAGCCCCAGGGTGCGGAACAGAGACAGAACTCACACTCCCCCCAGGATCTCTGGAGCCCGCAGCTCTCTGCTCCCCATACCAATGCTTCTGAAGCTCCATGGGTCTTGCTGCATGAGCTCCTTGGCCAAGATCATTGCCCCCTGGCCCCAGAGGTCCAGTGCACACAGTGCCCACAGAAGTGGTGCCACTGCTGGCTTCCTAGGCAAGAGCCCCTTCCTCACCAAGGACACCACTTCGCTGGGGTGGGGACCTGGCTATGTCTCGGGAATAGGAGCTAGAGAGAAGACATGTAGAAATGGGATGGATGCCAAGAGAAAGAACGATAAACAGAGAAAATGCTAGGGAGTTGGCTTTATTTAGCCTGAAAACATCTAGGGAGAGGAAGGAAGAGAGATAAACAACACCAAACAACAATTTCCCAGTAAAACCCACATAATTATAAAGAAGCCTATAATAGGCATCCTATAAACACTTGTTGACCTGCTGGCTCCTATCCTCCAATCTACTGCCCCATCCCCATCGGAGTACAGCTTGTGAGGAGACAGAACACATGTAACAAGCAACACTATTCGGGCTCTTTTTGATGACTGTAATGAGAAGACTGGTTGAATTTCTTTCTGGGGCCATCCTATAGAAGAACTGTCAAAACCCAGCCCTTTGGTGGGATACAATACCGTGAGTAACAGAAGCACAAATCTCAGAGGCTTCAGAGACACTACAACCTGTACAGCTTCTGCTGGTCACCTCCTTCCAACCCAACCTGTCCTCTGGCCATCACTTCCTCCAACATACCTGTGCTGGAGACACCGGCGATGTTGCTGGGCTCGCTGATCAGGTCCTGCATGACAGCCAGAACCCGGAACTCATACCAGGTATCCTACAGCCATAGGGACAACACCCAGTCAGCCAAGGCATCCAGTATGACTACTGCCCCTGCCACCACTGAACCTGCAGGTGACTTCCAGGGAAAAGGACAACAGAGCACCAGGGTCCTACTAAGAGCTTCCTGGTTGGTGATGGGCAGCACTGGACACTGCTGAGGGGTACATGTTGCCACTGATCTCACACTACAAATGTGAGGTCTCTGAGAGTTGGGAAGAGTTGCACAGGGGGTCTGCAAAGGCACTGTAAGTGATGCCAGCACAACTGCCCCTAAACCAGCATTCAGGGAGGGAAGATACAGGAGGTAGTCAGGACCCAGAAACAGCAGCTTCCTCTCCCAAGTCAGAGATAGCTATGTTTAAAAGGGCCACTGAAAAATAGATACTTTCTGAAGACAATCCATCTGGAGTCTCCTCTGCCCACCTCCTGAGAAAAGCAAACATCTGGGGTCTGAGGATTACGTAGGCCTCTCACACTGCCCTGCCCGAGCTGGTGTCTGTGTGTGGGACAAGTCCCCACTGCTGCCAAGCTGGCCGTGTTCTGGGGGAACTCAGCAGCTTCAGCAGCAGGTCTGGGAGCACCCAGGAATGGAAGGACTCCTCCCCGTGCACCTGAGCTGTGTCACCCAGAGTTCCCAGTGTCTCTGCAGAGTCATGCCGCTTCCAGGACTGGGAAAAGAGGCAAGGAAAAGCCAGGCCTCACCTGTGACAGATCCTTGGCAAAGAAATCTCCGTCGGTACCCGGAATGGCATCGTCCAGCATCTCCCAGCGCTCCCCGACTCGAAACTCCATGATGTAGCGGTCGATCGGGAAGCTGTGGTTGGCAGGTGGGAGCCAGGACAGGAACACACCCTGCTGGGTCCGATTGGCTGTGAGGCACCTTGGTGAGGTAACCAGCACCAGAGGTTCTGGAGTTGTGATAGGGAATGCTGTGGAAGAGGAAAAGGAAGGCAGCGTCAGATGCAGGGGCCGCTGCAGTGTCCTATTAGTGGTATCGCCTAGGGGAGCCCTCCTGGTCCTCAGGAAGGGAGACCATGCTGACCTCCAGAGTCAGTCTAAAGAACAAGCATGAGAGAACCAAGTACCCCTCAGCAGAGAAGGAACAGCAGCTCGGGGTGGGGGGGAAGAGCCAAGTGCAATGAAGTACAGTCATGGGCCACACAGTGGCGCAGTCAGCAAGGGGCTGCATGTTATGTGCCTGTGTGGTCTGAATGGATCTGAGAAGTTGCTGTCTGCTAGCGACACAGAAGTTATACTAACATCACAGAACAACACAGTACTCGTGTTTGTGGTGACACTAATGTACACATCCCTATTGCACCACCTGCTCTACACAGTAGAGCCCATACAGTTGTGTCCAGGACAGAATACTTGATGACGATAATAAACAACTGTGACTGCTTTATGTATTTACTATGTGAGACTTTTTTTTTTTTTTTTTTTTTTTTTTTTTTTATTTTTTAAAAAACAATCTTTTTTTTTTTCTTTCTTTTCTTTTTTCTTTTTTTTTTTTTTTTTTTTTTTTTTTTTTTTTTTTTTGCAGTACTAAGGATTGAACACCAGGTCTTTGCTCTGAGCAACATTTCCAGCTCCTTTTTTATTTTGTTTTGTTTTATTTAATTTTGAGACAGTCTGAATAAATCACTGAATTGCCCAGGCTAAACTTGAACTTGAGATCCTCCTGCCTCAGCCTCCCAGAGAGCTGAGATTACAGGCCTGATCTCAGCTATAATGGCACATTTTATCATTAGAGTATGTCTCTACTTATAAATAAGTTTCTATAAAGCAGCATGACCTTTCCGGCCAGCTCCAACTCTACACATCCTGCATGTCCTGTGCTTGACTATACCATTTCTCAGGCTGTATCACCTAGGTTTGGTAAATACATATGTGATGTTCACACAGTGCTGGTTCTGGTGCTTCTTAGGGGTTCCTGAGAACTAGACGAAGGCCATAGAGCGCTGTTCACTTTCAATCACCTCTTGGTCCAGGAGCACAAAATTCAGCCTAGTAGAAGTGCTGTGGAGTAGTGGTGAGTGCCCTGCCCCTTGGCCCACCCTAGTGCAGTACAGGGAGGGATTCTAGAAACAGACTGCTCATCCAGACCCTTCTCGGGCCTCAGAGGAGGGGAAACAATTACAGCCAAGCAGTGCAGAAGGGCAAGGCCCAGTCCCATTAACATGCAAGCCTGGGGCTAATGAGGAAAGGTAAAATACAAAATTTCTCCTCCCTGAGGCTGCAACAAGAGTTCAGCCAAAAGTATCAAGCTACAGGGCCAGGGAACCCTGTAGGAGGACCTGCCGAGTCCTAAGTAGGAAACCCAAAGCCACCATCACAGAGCGTACTCGATAAGGTGTCACAAACTTCCTAAACCCCAAAGGACAACATGGAACCACTGCTACCATCACCTTTGTGTGCCCCAACTCTGCAAGGAACAGCCCAAGACACACCGGCCCTGGGGTGCTCACCTAAAGTGTTCACAGTGACCACCTCACTGAAGGCGCTGGTTCCCAGCTTGTTCTGAGCCAGGACACTGAACTGGTATGCGGTCTCGGGCTCCAGGGTGTCCACTAGCAACCAGCTGGGGCCCGGTGGCACTGACAAGGACAGCCAGTCATGGGGCCCAAACTGTGCCCGCTTCATCCTGGCCAAAAGAGAGAGAGAGGATGGGGAACAAGGGGTGGGTGGGTCACACTGGAGAGAAGCGCATCATGCACTGTCCTCAGGGAGAAGGGTTGAGAGGACTACATTCCCAGGGTCATGGGTGGGAAAAGAAGATGCCAAGGCAGGTTACCTGCCCAGCTCTGGCTGTGCTAACCCTCTTGACACCAGCTAACTCCATCGCTGGCCCCTTCCCCACAGAAAGAGGCCCTTGGGTGGAAGCCACGATGAAGTTACTGGTCACATCACCAAGTGCATGGTGGGAGAGTCCTATCCTAAGCACCACACTGGGAGTAGGCTCTGCCTTGGGAGAGGAGGAACACTGGAGAATGATGATAAGCACATGGGCCTATGCACAAGTTGTGTCCCGGCTGCCCATTCCTGAGTAACCAGGAAGCTCACTCAACCCAATCAGATCTGGGTCATCTGAGGACATCCAAGGTATGTGACAAAAGTGGGATCAAGATGCCTAAGGCCTGAGGGTTAGAAATCACAGTCGAGGGGGACGTGACACTGTGCATGGAGAGTACTGAGAGGGCAAAGGTTTTCCATGTTCTAGAAGGCTGCCGATTCCCAGGAGCCAATGAGGCCACCTGCCGCAGTGCCACCACATCACCACTGGGAGGAGACATTGCCCAGTGGAGCCAGCCTGCTCCTTTCACCCTGCCCTGGAACTCTGCACACACCCAGGGGTTCCTTCTTGGTTTAAGGCTTGTCACCTTGTATGCCCAGGTAGGTGTGCTAAGGCAGTGGAAGACATAGCAAAAGGAAGCTAGCGCCAAACATCTGAGTCAGGACACAGAGAGCTGAAGGCAGTCAGAAAGGAGGGAAGGCGTCCTCCCCGGCCAGGGCCAAAGGCAGTGAGCACACTGATGAAGCAATGCAGATGAGTAGCAGGTGGAAGCGCCACAAGCAGCCAGGGGAGCCCGCTCTGTGCCAGACCTTCTGTGTGGCACCCCCAGAGAGGGTTCCGCTATGCCCATCCCACCCCCCGCCACATATCCCACAGCAACCCCCACAACCCTGCTGCAGAGGAAGAGACACAGACAGAGGTGGGAGGGGGCTGTAACCGCAGTGAGTTGATCCAGGATGCACAATGCCCCTCACCCAGGACATCCAGCCCCCAACCCACCAGAGGAAACAGCGCAGGCACCCTCTCCACCTCCCACCGCTAAGCAGTGGGCCAAGTGTTCTCCCTTCACCCTGAGCGTCCCCGAGCGCTGCTATATGGTCGGGGTTGTCCTCCTCCCCGCACTCAGACTGAGCCCGCTGGAAACGTGCCTGGGTGGGTCATGGCTGAAGAGGAGCAAGGAAGGGGCTCATCTTCCCTGTCAGGTCATCCATGAGGCAGGTGGCTACAGGTCTCGGCTCAGGACAGGAGCAACAGGAGCCCCGGGGTGATGAGGGGTCCCTGCGAATCTCCCACTTTCTGATCCTCTGGTCATCACCCTGGTGCATGTGTTTTTGAGATCTCTGCTTAGCCTAAGGTTTGGGCAAAGACCTCATTGCACTACATCTGCCTAAATCACGAAAGGGACATGAGAACAAGAGACACGGAGTCTTACAGAGAAAATGTGGACACTGGCAGCAAGGCCGGGGAGGGGAACACCAGTGCTCCAAACTGCTTCCTGGGATGACTGTGAGAAATGAAAGTGGATCCTTTGCTTCAGACTGGGCTATTTAACAAAGCTCTTAAAATCACCGGGAGTCTCAAGTCACCAGAGGAACCCAGAAAAAGAATGAGGCAGAACCCTAAAAATGTGGAACACCAAGATAAGCCAGGGAGAACTGTAGAAGGTCCAGGGAGATTCAGGCAATGGCTCAAACTGCCTCCGCTTTCAGGGCATGAATGCAGAGTCCCTTTACACACCCAGCACCAGAAGAACCCAGTCTCTGTCTGCCTCTTTGCCACCTGCAGGGCTGACACATGCAGACCGCAACCTCCTCAGACTCCCCCCACCCAGGACTGCCTGACTCAGGCAGGGAGGGAGAAGCAGAGAGCGAAGCATGCGGGGCTGACTCACAGAGGTCCGTACCAAACTGAGAATGTCTGCTCGTAGCCTCCATCATAGCCCGGCTCCCAGGATACGTTGGCAGTTGTCATGGAGACCTGGACCCGGACACTGCCCGGGGCGTGGGGGCTGGTGCCTGGAGACCAAGGGAGACCTCTCAGACTGAAAGGAGGGAGCCCAATGACTAGGAGCCCATCATCTAGGTGCAGAGACCCCAAGAGGACAAAGCAGGGAGTGGTAGAATGCAGTACGACAGTGAGTGGAGAGGGGAGGCACTGAGTGCCAGCTCCTCTGCCCCTCCAGAGTCAGGAAGGAAGTCCACCTCACCATGTAGCCTGGTCTCGATGCAGGGGTCACCACTGGGAGGTGAGGCAAACAGAAGCCAGAAGCTTCCTCACCCCCTAACTCCTGTGAGCCTCTGGAGAGCACAGCAGCACTCTTCCTGAGGTCCTAAGCAAAACCAAAAGGCACCACCTCCTGCCAAGGCCCTGCCTTAGGACACAGACCCATTCCCCCAGCAGAATGCAGCATCTGAGGCTAACAGGTCAACCCAGGGCTGAGCTCAGGCCCAGCAGTTACTAGTGAGGCTGGGCACTAGGTCCCAACCCTCCTCAGCCCCATCCCAACAAATGCCACCTTCTCCATTGTGAATGACAAGGAAGGCAGACCACCTGGTCTACAGCCAGGGGGTGCTGGCCTGGGACACAACTGTGGCTGTCAGAGGGACCTCAGTTACGAGGCCCTGGAGACACATGCCTGGGCAGTCAGACCCAGGAAGCACTCCAGGTGGGAGGAGCCCACTCAGTGCCTCCTGCCCAGCTTCCTTGAACCAGTACACCCTCAAAACCTCAGCCCAGCACTGGTCCAGGATGCCACACCACTGACTCTCCCTCACCCCAGCCCCTCCAGCGTGCTTACAGGCTCCTCAATTCAACCTCCACAATCCACTGGCCACAGCTGCCACCTGCAAGGTGGACAGGACCCAGGATGGCCTTCCCTCACCCAGCCCATGGAGAGAGAGGGCTAGTGTCGACTCTGCTCAGGACGGGACTGAGCCAGTGAGGGTGCCTGACGTGCGGATGGCCCTCTCCACGTACCGATGACGGTAAGGTGAGTGCTGGCAGTGATGGTCGTGACCACGTTGGTGGCGACACATTCCCACTCCCCGTGGTCCTCCTTGCTCAGGGCACGGAACTGGAGGCTCCCGCTGGGCAGGGCACTGTGCTTGCTTCTGCTGGGCTTCCCTACCTTGGCCAACAAGGGGAGGGAGAGGATGGGCTGGACAGAGGTTAGGAGGGGAGCCACCTCGGCTCATGCAGGTTAAGGGTGCTGAGTCAGCCCAGGCCCTCAGCCCCTGCTCTCCACCGCCCCCTCAGTATCCACTACTACAGAAGGTCAGCTCTCCCCTGGACATCGGGCCAGCAGAGCAGGTCCAAAGTAGAACTGGCTGAAGGTGCCCATGTGCCCACAGCCCGGGAGCCCCAGAGCCCAAGTACCTTTCTCCAGGTGATGACAGGGAAGGGGTCCCCTGCGGCTGCACAGGGGATGAGCAGTTCTCGGCCAGCCTCCTGCCTGTACTCCCAGCCTGGTAGCACCGTGAAATACGGGGGATCCTGGGGAACACAGGCATGCGAGTATAGTCGGGCTTAGGGTGCCCCAGCACACTGCCCCACACACTGCCCTGGTGCCTCACCTTCAGGACAAGCCTCGCAGGAGCAGACTGGCCCATGGTCCCCAGGGTATTGTAAGGCACACACGTGTAAGTGCCAAGAGCCTCCTCTGTGGCCTCCTCGATCCGAATGGAGCCATCCTCCATCAAGGTCCAACCCAGGTTCTGCCATACAGACAATAAGGCAGGCCATGGTCAGAGGCCAGACACTCTGCCTGGCACCCCCAGAACGCAACCTGAGCCAGGCCAGGAACAGCAGCTACAGCCTGGGCTGGGCATCATCCCCCTGCCCCAAGAGAGCAGCCGGATCCTGCAAGAAGCAGCTCACTGTCTTCCCAGACTCATTCTGCAACCGGGACGGGAGACCCAGCAGAGAACTGGGGCCCAGAGGTGGCAGCTTGGTCCTGGGTGGGCTCCTCTCCTCTGAGCTCCACACCCACACACCTTCTCCACCTGCAGGGGGCGGCCATCCTTGTTCCATTTTACCAGGGTGGCTGGTGGCTCTGCGTCCACAGGGCAGCGGATGAAGCCATGGATCCCCACAGGCACATAGATCACAGGGGGCATGTTGAGGACACGGGCCGGGTCTGCAGAAGGGGACAGAAGAGGGATGTGCAAGAGGCCCGGTGAGCAATCTAGGTAAACAAACCCAGAGCCCTGCCAGGCACAGCCTGCACATTGACTCCAGTTGGCTCTGCAGTGCCCAACACAACCCAGGGACTGGAGCCCTCATGGACAACAAGACAAATCCACCCACAGCCACCAAGTCAGACTGTAGGCTCCTCCGCCCTCCCACTGTGTTAAAACTACTTGGAGGTATTCAATGGTACATTCCCACAGTACCAGTCCCAGGTGCAGCACTCTGGATGCCTCCAGGCTGGACTTATTCTGCCAGGCAGACTCTTGAGGTTCATTTCCCTTAGCCTCAGCGTTCACGTTGACCGCACCCTCCCTTCCCACTCCTTATCCCCGTGTCTTGGAAGCAAGCAATTCAGCTCTCTACAACTTAAGTCAAACGGCAAAGCTGGTTCTACCCAGGAGACCATCTCAGATGTAGCCCCAGTGGGTATTTTTGTTCACTCCATCATTTCTGCTGGAGGTCCAGCCACCCTTGGCCTCAGTCTCTCCAGTGGGCCCTGCCACTGAAATGCAGACGCTAGCCTGGCTGGGAAACAGACAGAGCCTGCAGGACGGCAGCCCTGTGATGCAGGCTGAGTCACCTCCTCTCAGTTCTCCCCAGTCCCCCCAAGGGCTACGGAGAAGGATCCAGAAGTAGGGAAGCTGTGAGGATGAATGAGCTGCTATCTTCTAAGCATTCTGAGCTCTTCAGAGAACAGCATTACATAAATACCAGGCTGCGTTATATATTTAGACATAGCTTCCTACTTTCGTATGGTAGAGTCTTTTTTTTTTTCTTCTGAGGTTTTCAAAGGGTTTATGAATGGGAAATACTCTGAATACTGCTCTTTAGCAGAAATAAAGATCCTTGTCTCACCCACCCATAAATTTCAACCCCCTGGATTCTCTTTGAAGGCAGAAAGGAGGTAAAAAAGGACAAGTGGGAGTGGGTGGTGGCGCCAGAGCCAGGAGAGACAGGGAAACCAAAACACTTCTCCAACAGAGAGACAGTGGGACGAGGTCCTGGTCACCATCCTGAAGATCACTGCTCCCTGGATGCTCCACATCCCGAGCCACTGCACTCTCCTGTCCAGGGCACAACCTGGGTCAGGCCAGAGGGAAAGATGCGCCTATGAGGTGGCATCTGCTCCTTCCAGACTTTAGGTCCTTCACTCCAGAGCAGCCCAGGCCCATCCTCAGTCCCTGAACATCAATTCCTTCACTTGCTTTTCTGATCAAATGTCTGGTAGGATGCACCTGATATCCAAGCTCCACGGCTCTTGGAAGCTTGGGACTCCATAGCATGAGACCAGGCCTTTGGGTTGTGACAGAAGAGGTGGAGAGCAGGGACTTTGCTTCTGGCAGCAGAGCTGTTCCACAGAGATGAGAAGGGGCATGATTGTAGGGGGCCAGCAGGTCCAACATGGCTCAACCACTCTGCCCACTTGAGGAGATGCCTCTATCACCCCATTCCAGTCAGCAGTTGGAGGCGCTCCACCTCCTGGGCCACAGTTCCCCGACTTGTCCTCAGACCATGGGATGAGCTGGCCAGCCAGTCTCTAGACTGTCACAATTCTCATCCTGCCACTCCGGTCCCCCACACAGGCCCTCTCATGATGGAGCGTCTGTCAGTCTGTCACCTGCAGCAGAAACTCGGGCCTTTGTTGCAGAGTGACAGGGCCATCCGTGAATCAAAAGGAAGACATTAATCCTCATTACTCGTCCTTCTCCCTGGCTCACTCTCACAATGCTCAGCTTGCCAGGGGTTGGGCAAGCAACCAGCGGCGCTCAAGTATTACAGATTAGCAAAGTGAATTACTATGCCCACACAGCAGCCTTGATCATCCTGCAGAGAAGCAGCTCACTAATCTGGAGCTCAGCAGCCCTAGAGGAGCACAGGCAGCCACAGAGAGCTGGGAATGGGAATGAGCTGTCACCCCAGAACAAGGCCCTCTGCCCTCACCTGACACTGTCTGCAGCTTGAAAGGGCAGAGTGTAGCAGGCAGGAAAATGACCCAAGCTGGCTTATAGTGCCCCACAGACACTCGAGAAAACCCCCACTAGTGACTCCTTCAAGGCTCAGAAGTGTGGGCAGTGTTCAGCACAAGGACAGCCGCTCTGCTCCAAAGGACAACTGGCCAGGCACAGGTCTGCTAATCTCTGAAGCTCAATGCACAAATCAGCCCAGAGAGAATGCCCAGCAAGTGTCAGTTCAGCCTGTGACAAGCTTGATCCTGGCCCTGTCCACTGTCCTGCTTCCTCCCTCATTCGTTCCTCTGCCCATATTCCCCTAAATGATACTTGGTCGGTGCCTTTGGCCTCCAGTCCAGCTAAAGTGGCTCAAACCTTCCGCAGTGCCCACCCATACTCACACTGCACAGTCAAGTAAGCCGAGGCTGAAGGGGAGCGCCCCAGGCTGTTGCTAGGGACGCAAGTGTACTTTCCAGCATCCTCTGGCTTCACCCGGAAGATGATCAGTGTCCCATCAATCAGGATCCGCACCCTCAGCTTCAGGTCACTGCAAAACCACAAGGAGATGAAGGGGAGGGGTGTTGGCAAGTGACAGGTAGTCTTCCAACAGACACTAAACCAGGGAGCAATGAGTTGCCTACAACTCCCCGGATGTACCGGACTCCTGGTCCCCAGCATTCCCAGATCCCTCCGTGCCTTTGGATCCCTCTCTGGCCTCAACAGTGAAAACACCTGGACCAATCCATCCTTACTCCAAGCCTCAAGCCTGAGCTAAAAGTATAGCCCCTGCTCAGAGCTCTTGTCCTGGACACTTGCAAGAGGACCCCCAAGAGGGACAGGGCAGGGTGCTGCTCACTTCTGGAAGTAGACGTTCTCGTCCTGCCAGTACCAGGTGTATGTGAGGTTGCCCGGATATGCCTCTGCCCGGCAGGTGAGCAGAGCATCCTGGGAGATGTTGACAGTGATGTTCTCAGGAGGGGAAACGATGAAAGGAGGCCCTGGAGAGAACAGGGAATAAACATCACCTCTGCCATGGTGGGGGCCAGTTGCCCAGGCTCTCAGAAAACTCAAAAGTGCTCAGAAAGGGGCACTGAAGGCAGCATGGTCTAGCAGTCACCACAGAGCTGCTTCTTGTCTCTTGCCATGCCCACACCCCATCTACACAGCCCCAGCAACTACCCTATCTACACACACACCATTCCTGCCCACCCCTGTCTGTAGCAAAGCCTGAGCAGGAAACTCCAGACAAGGCAGAGCAGCCAGAGATTAAGAGGGTGACTCGGGAGAGGGACAGAGTGAGGAGGGTGAAATTCCAGCAGTCCCTGGCAAGGTTGGCCAGACTCCGGCTGAGCTGCAGAGGGACCTCTGGCCCTGGCCACTGCTCAGTGCTAGCAGGAGCAGGTGCTACCTCAGCAACTGTCAGTGAAACATGGCTGCCACCAACCCCATTCCTGGCAGGCAGTGTGTGGGAAGGCAGAGCCCCTCCAGGGGAACCCCACCGCCCTGCACAGTGAGTGCCCAGCCCAACACACTGGTAATGTTGACTGTTCAGACCCCAGCTCTGCCAAATGCCTGCTGTTGTTTAAATGTCTGGGGCTTGGATTGTGTTCCCATCTTTACTTATTGATGTCAGCATTAATGGGCAGATGACCCGAGGGGGGTCTCCTCCCCAGGGAGGCGAAGACGCAGCAGGGATGCTATCTAGGCAGAGGGATATCAGAACCCACTCAGTCTGGGCCTCCCTGCCACACCGTGATGTGCTTCCCAGGAGAGCCAGGGCTGGAGATCTGGCCATGAGCTATGTGGGACCCAGGAGCCCTTGCCCAGCTCCTCCCTGCCTGCCTGTCTCCACCAGCTGCCAGGAGGTGAAGTAATCCCCTACCTTGGACGAGCAGGTGAGTGGTGTGGACTGCCTCCCCTTGGATACTGTATGCCCGACAGGTGTAGGCCCCTCTGTCCTCCCGACTGACAGACGTCACCGTCAGGCTGCCATCACTCACCTGGGGACCAAGGACAGACAGACCTCAGCACCCATCCACGGGCCCACCAACTGGGCAGAGGTGCCATCACTGATGTTGGGCTGGGGCAGTTGAGGGACAGTGCACTGGGGTACAGAGGTCAGGTCACAGGGGGGACACCTGCAGAGGCCAGCCACAGAGAGAGGGGAGAGGGAGGGAGGGCAGGCCGAACGGCACACACCTGGTACTTCCCACCAGCACTGAGGAGCATCCCCTCCTTGAGCCAGGTGACGATGGGCTTGGGGTTCCCAAAAGCTGTGCAGGTCATGGTGATACTGCCTCCCTCCTTGGCCTCGATGTACTGGGGGGGTGTTTCTGTAAAGGTGGGTGGGGCTGCAGAGGAGACCACAAAGGTGAGGGATGGAATCATGTGCACACGTGCACAAACACACACACACACACACACACACACACACACACACACATGCACAGAACTTGCCTGCAACCTGCAGGATGTGAGGACAACTGAGGAGGAATTGGGAGGTGGTAAAAGCCTGCTGATGAGGATCACAGGGATGGGGAGTGAGCTAGGATCTAATCTTGGTCCAGCTGGGCTGAATTCTATGCTTTTCCCATCAAACTTAGCTACTGCCCACTGAGATGTTTACTGAGCATCTATTATGGAGAAGCTGTCATGCTCAGCCCTAATGTCACTACAGGAACAGGACAGGGCCCCCCATAATCTCTACCACCCTTGTGTTTCCCCTCAGGATCACCCCCTGCAGTCCAGCTCAGCCAAGCCCCCACTTTTCCAGGACATTTGCCATCAGAGCCCTATCTAGGCTCCACACAGACCCCAGGCCCAGGGAGCAGTCTGGTTCTACATGCAGAGCAAACCACCCACCTGCCTCCCCCTCTGGCTCCCGTAGCTAATGAGGGCGGGAAGCTCCCTCCTCAGATCCCCTCTAACCACACAGGTTATCTTTCCCCTGTGCAGGACCTGTAAGTAAAACTCCATCTTGTTTGGATAATTGGCTTTTAAGAGACTGAGTCTCATTCCCCTGAGTTGCTTTTAAGAGCAACTCCATCCATCTTAACCTCTTGGACTGTGGGTGCCGAAGTCTTCCAGCAGGGCAAAGTGGCCCCTATTTCTGAACACCACCGGGAGACCCACCACACTGGCCTGGGAGCCCATTAGGGCTCTTCAAGACCCCCAAGCTTGACTTTGGGCAGGTTGCTTAGCCTCTCTGGACTTCATCCAAATCCTACACCATCTAGAATGGACATGAGGAATCATGAGATAATGCTGTGAAAAAGATCTAGCTCAATGCAAGCATGTGTTTAAAACAAATATTGGTTATTCTGCCACCACTACTATCGTTATCTCCCCAGGGAGCCACTGAAGTAGTAAGACACTTCAGGAGGGCTCCCTTCCCTACACAAAGCCCTATGGGAGACTAAGTCACAGGGCTTTAGGATTGGGTCCTTCCCCCTCCTAGAGTGCCTCCCAACACACTTCCGCTCACTGTGCTTTAATCACACAGGCCTTTTTCATCTTCCTGAAATGTGGCAAGAGCTTCCAACCTCATGTCGTTTGCACATATGGTTCTCTCCGCTTAGAACCCAGATCTCACTCCAGGGCTCAGGGCGTCTGTACCTTTCACCTCTGCCTCACCTGGTCAGCTCATTTGACCTGCTACTCTAGCACTCTCTATGCCTTGATCTGTTCTGTTTCCTTTAGGGCACTTCTTACTAACTAAGGCCATGTCATCTGTTTCCTATCTTCCCCCATTAGTGGCAATAAGGACTCTCTGAATGTGTAGCACTTGGCAGTGTGCTTAACGCCCATCTGGTGAATGAATGACAACATACACACCTACAGATCCCCACAAACACAAACACACAGAACCTGAGAGCAAGAGCCTGGGGAGACCACTTTGGCCCACAGTCGCCAAAGCCCCTGACTCAGAACAGGCACATGCATGTGGGAAGGGATGGTGGGCTGATGGGGGAAGCATAACACACACAAGTACATATCCTTTCCAATGGCATCTAAGAAGACACTACACACACAGTACAAGCCATCCCAGGCTCTTGTAAAGGGCATCTTGAAAGCTGATCCCAGGCCCTGGCTAGTGTGACCACCTCACCTCTCACCAAGGCCTTCCTACCTAACCTGCTCCTGAAATACACAACACAGCCATGGCTTCTATTACCTCTGGTGTCATGCTTAAAAGAAAAGATAATAAATTAAATTATGACCTGGAGTGACAAATTAATTACTAATTACATAATTACTTTATTATTTAGGTGCTAATCAGGAAAGTACTTTGAACAATTTCAGGTTTTCAGGAAAATAATGGTTTGACTCTCGATTATTTACTGATTAGGTATTGCCCTGCCAGCTGTATTTCCAGGCTTAATTCTCTTTGCAAGTGCCCTATAATTAATAGTGCAGGTTAGGAACAGGCTGGCCTCTCCTCCAAGTTAATTCACTGGCCTAACAGAAACCTTGGCTTGGGCTTCCTGCTCATTTTATATGTGATAAAGAAATAATTGGGTTTGTTTCCACCCAACTGGTCTTCAAAGAAAACACAGAAGGAGAATGAAACCATTTGTCATTCTAATTTTTCCCTGGCTTTTCAATTTCCAAAAGTGATCCCTGTCAAAAAATGCCAAACATTACACATTCTGCTTTGGAAGCTATGGAATGCTGGAAATATTTATACCAGATAAAACTGCAGAACTCAGGAGGAAGGGGAGGGAAATGTCTCTCCTGGTGGAAGGCATCTGTTCTCTTCTGCCTACTGTACAGGTGACCCCTGGGTCATGGGAAACTTTGCTCTACTACAACAAAGTCTGATGCCATACCTGCTTCTTGAGCATTGGCAGATGGTGTGGCATCTAAGCATCTCTTCCCAACACTTCCTTATGAACAACCTGCTTGTGCTCCCTCAGTGAGCTGCTCTCCTCCCTCAAGCATCCGGGACTTCCGGAGTCTCTTCCCCACCTCCCATCTGCTCCTGGTTAAAATCCCTCCCTGACCAGGGCTCCAAACAGAGGCCAATTCTTACAGGACAATGTTGCTCCTGTATGTGTTCCCCATCCCACATGGCAGGTCTCTGGATATGACTATCTCCCAGAAGTCTCCTTAAAAGCCCCCAGCATGTCCGCAGAGGCTGCCACAGAGTGGACACTCAGGAATATGTTTTGAATGAGTAGCCACTGAATTCAGAAGGACTTTTCAACTACCAAACTCCTCATTTCTTCCAGCCTGACATCCTTGCTAACATCTTTATCTGACTCTATCCTTTTTCTCTCTTGAGAAGGAGATGGCCAGTATCTTACCCATAATTACACCCATGTAATAAATGCTGCAGACACTGGGCAAGATACATTCTGGTGTATTTCCATTGAGTCCTCACAACAACCCTGCAAAAGGCATTGTTTTTTTAACTGAGGAAACTGAAGCGCAGGGAAGTAACCTAACCAGCCCAGGATTATATACAACATGGAATAGGATCATGAAATAAACCAAATCTTTCAAGAGTTCTGTTCACATTGATTCCATTCTGAGCAATTAGGAATTTTCAAAGAACTAACTTTCACTCCTGCTAGACAGACATTCAACAGAACACACGATTCCAAACTAAACTCTACTTCTGGTCATATGAGTAATAGATATGTGGTTTCTGCATACTGGAGTGGGTACTACCAACCAAGTAGGATGCAGTGAAAGAAAAGAGGCCACTCCTCCAGGTGGCTTCACTCCATTTAGGAAAGGAAGGGCATGGGAGAGAAAGGAAGGGTTTGGTGTTCAATCAGTAAAGCAAGGAGCAGCAGATTTACCTTACTAATTATGTTTTGCTTGGATTAACATTAAGAGGAGTTTTTAGTACAACAGCTGGCATCAAAGGGGGGTGACTCAAAGCTTGCTGAGTACAAAGGATAAAGCACTCAAGATTTAAAATCTACCTGAAGCTGGGCTCTGACTGGCAGGAGCCACACCCATCTAACACCTGAGCTAACACTGACCTCAAGCCATCATCTTTAAAGTTTCCTGCCCTATAGGACAGCACCCTTGCTAAAATACTCAACTCTAGGGCTCAGGAGTAGCCCAGTGGTACAGCACTTGGCCAGAATCCACAAGGCCCTGGGTTTGATCCCTAGCACTGCAAACAATAAAAATATATTGAATGTAAAAATATTCTGTTCTTCCATGACCCTGGACAGGTTCTCAGACCCAGAAGGTGCACAGGACTGAACCTCATTACCAGTTGATGGAGGAAGGAGCTGTGCTTCAGGGCAGATCAATCCTGAAAGAAGCTTCCAAGCCAGGAACAACATCAGTTTCTCGTAACCACAGTATCCACAGCCTCATACACCAGAATATAAGTACCACACTGCATGTGGCAAATCTAAACACACATGTCATCAAAGCCTCAAAGACAGTACGATGTCTGCAATATGGTGATGCTCAATATATTTTTGCCACCAATTAAATAGAGAGTACGTGTCAAAACAAAACAAAGTAAAACCAAAGCAAAATATCTCATTCCCGCCCCCCATCTATGAAGACCACTGTTCCTCCATCCTTCCTTCATGCTTTTGGCCTCCTGGCTCCCCCAAAGCATCTCCTACCGGGTACAGACTCCCAAGAACACAAAGAAGGGACTCTCTCTCCAGGAGACCCTGAAGACCCAGCCTTCTGGCTCTGCACCCCCTTAGGCCCAGGCCCATAGCTGAGGCCAACCCAGGACCTGGGCAAGCTCACCTCAGCTTCCTTGCTACCCCCCTAATACTGGAAAAGCATCTGTACACAGCAGAATCCACTTAACCTGAGCCATAAATAATGGCCAGTAAAGCTGCTCCTACATTTTATGAGCTAGTAAACCCCATATGAGCAGGGGCTGCATTTACTGTTCATCTGGTGCAGAGCTGGGCACATAACGGACCCTCAATACTTATTACTCAAATAAGTGCATTTAACAAGAAACCAAAATATCAGCCTAAAAGGAGAAACTACTGAAATCCCACTGGAGGGAGGGCTCCTTCTAGACTAGCAGGTGATCCCCAGGCCAGGGGTAATAATAGTAGTGAATGATTTTGCCCCCACAGAACCTGAAACCTCTAGGTTTCCAGAAGCAAGCCCGCTTCCCCAAAGAATATCTGATACCATCTGGCACATAGGGGCTGCTGTTCCCATACACCCCAGTGACCAGGGGCTCCTAGAAGAGAAGTGTCAGGGGAGGGGGCTGCCAGAAGCAAGTGGAGATCTATCTCACTGGGGCTCAGGCTTGTAGCAGCAGGACTGAGGAACCATACAGGGTGCTCTTCCAGAGCATCCCTGCCCCAGAAGGGGCTGTACGCACCATTGATGGTAAGGTGTACCCAGCTGCCATTGTGGAAGGTGTCATATTGCTGGTCCAACATGAGCACTTTGCACTCATACCAGCCCTGGTCCTCGGAGCGCACCTGCTCCAGCCGCAGGGATGCTTTATCATGAAGACTGGCCCGGCCTGGGGGAAGAGGAGGGACAGAAATCAGGGAGACCATCAGGCCAGGTCAGCAGCTCCTCCCCACCTCCCACCCTAGCCAAAGGCAGGGACAGATTGTGACCCTCAAACCAGTTCCTATGGAGGAACCCAAGATGACAGCAGGCACCACCTCCACAAGCAGCAAGGAGCAAAGAAAAAGGCAGGACACCCTCCCTAGGGAGCCTCTGTCCCCTCCCAGCTGGCCCTGACCCGGCCAGGGAGCAGCACAGTACACAGCACTGAAAAAAGCCTCCACCCTTTAGAATACACCTGTTCTTTTGGAGATCTCTGGGGACAAAGGAAGAGCATGATGCATGATGGATACTGAGCAGGAGAAGAAAGAGAGAGAGAGACAGAAAGAGACAGAGAGGAGAGAGAAGGGAAGGAAGGAGAAAAGGTGGGGGAGACAAAAGAGAATAAGCTTGGAGCCTCCACATGTCCCACAGCAGCTCCACAAAGACCAAACAACATCCCTGCCCCAGCTGGGTGCCCAGGATGGCCTCACCAGCATTCTCCCTGCCGCCTTCCCCAAGGTAGGGCAGAGACAGTAGCCCAACACTAGGCACCTCCCAGGCCTGCTGCCAGGTACATCTCTTACCAAAGCCCAGCGATCCAGGAGCTGAGGGCAATGGGCCTATAAACCAGAGGACAGGACTAGGATAAGGGCCAGGAAGATAGGCACAGACAACCCCAAACCATCCTTCCTCCACTCTATCAGGCCACCTCTGGTCTTGGACACAAACGGGGTGAGCTTCTCTGCAGAGGCCCCTTCCCGGCATCAACTCCCACCTCACCCTGACTCCAGGCCCAGAGCCACCTCCTCTGCTGTCCTGTCTTGGGACTGGCAGTCAGTCTAAGTCCCAGACCATCAAAACAACCCTGGCCAGGAGGAGAGTGAGAAACACAGACTCAGGTGGAAGAGACCAACAGGGAAACATCAGGAGAGAAAGGAAGTTCAGCAGAGACAGAGTGAAGGCAGAGCCCTGCTAGTGCCCTCCCTTCCTCTGGACCCCAGCACACAATCATGATAGGGACACACATGTATGTATGCACACCCCAGCTGGCAGGTGGTGCCAATGAGGCACAGGGAGGCCAGAGTCACTGCACAGCAGACATAAGCAAGACCAGGAGAAGACAGAGGCCAGGGGCACAGAACGGGGGAAAGAGATATAAACAACACCCAGCTCAAGAAGATATCCAGCTTCAGAAGCAGGAGAGAAGGCATGGGTACAGTCAGATGGCAGATCCTGAAGTCCCAGAAGTGCCACACTTGGCAGCGTGGGACCACGGCTCATTTCTCTGGACAGGGGTCCTGGCCCCCTTCCCACAGAGCCCATATCTAGCTTACCCTACACTCCTGGCCTCTCTCTATCCCTTGCTGTGTCCCATCTGCCTCTCCTCCTGTGCCCTGTCCTCCTGTGCTCTGTCCTCCTGTGTCCTTGCCTCCTGCCACTTAGTGAAAACCCACCAGAATTCAAAGATAGGAGAAAGAGGCAGAGATAGAAGGAAAACAGATAACAGACCAGAAGGAGAAAGGACTGAGAGACAGAGGTGGGGGCACTAGGGACCTCAGGGTAACCACCATGACCTGGGTGGAAGGAATGTGAGGACCAAGCCCAGTGGGTAGCAAAGCGGGGACAACCCTCTGCACCCATACTTTACCTGCATACTCAGGGTCCACGTGGGGCGGGTAGTAGCCAAACTTGATGAAGATAGGGATGGGGACCCCGAACTTGAACCACTCTACCACATAGGGTGGGGGCTGTCCCGTCACAGGGTGGATCACGTCGCATCGCAGGACCACACCCTCGCCAGCTCGAGCGGTCACAAACTCAGGCTCCTCTCGCAGGCTGTGGGCACCTATGGGACAGCCGAGTTGCAATGTGGGAAGGTGAAAGATCCTGCCCTAGTAGCCTGTCCCCCTCCTTACACCTGCCTTCTCCAGGCCCCCAGAGTCCGGCCCCATCTCTTACTCATACCCTGTCTTGGGGCCCCATAACCTACAAATGGGGGGAGCCAGAACATCCCTCTCTCACCCTCAAAGGTAGCAGGTGTAATCACGGGTGCCAAGCTCAGACACCCTACCCCAGGACAGTAAGGAGCTGAAGACAGAGCTGGAGGCCCTCCTCTGCCTGCAGAGCTGCTGTGGCTGCGGAACATTCTTCCTGAGGCAAGATGCTTCCCAGAGCCAACCCGCCTCCTCCGCCCCGCCCCCTCAGCCTGGTGTTCCAGCACTAAACAAGAGCGCTGCACACAGGAGCAGGGAATCCCTAACAAACTAAGCCAGGCTGCTCCAGGCAACACCAGAGGGAAACCCCACCGGCCTGGGCTGGCCTCTGCAGCCCCTCCTTCCAGCATTGCACCAGCACTACTGCAGAGGGGAGCGGAAGCGCTGGGGCCCTGATTCCAAGTGCCAAATCTTACAGATTCTCCAAGATGCCCCAGACATCACCGTCAGGACACCAGATGCTGGGGCTGAGGAGGGAGACCTTTGCAGAAGACATCAGAAAGAGACCACTGGATGGGGCCACCCATCCTGGCTGGTAGAGGAGGTCCCCGCCCCCACCCAAGCTGCGAGGAGAGCTGCGAAGCTGACCCATGAGAGCACTGCCCACACAGTGCAGCTGCACTCCCAGGCCCCAAACAGGCATGCGGTCCACCTCCCGCAGACACTCCGCCCACCCAGCCCTGGCCTTGCGGTTACCGGGGATTCGGAGGCCCAAGGTCACCTTGTCCAGTATAGCCAGTGAAAGGGACAGCAAGGGGCAGCCTCAGCCCTGCCTCCCCTGTATCCACCACTCCCACAGGGACCACAGGCTCTCCCCAGTTCCACCCCTCGTCCCAGCTGGGCTTCCGATTCCCAGGGCAGCACCTGGGACAGCAGCTGATGCCAGCTCCTTCCTTGGGGATTGAACAGTGCTGCAGAATGGCAGACTTGGCCTGGCTCTATACCTCAGACCCACTGAGTGCTCCAGCCCGATGCTTGTCTTTCACGTCTGTGTCTGGCCATGTACACATGTGCATGTGCGTGTCCCCTCAGGGTTTGTCTGTTTCCTTTTCTGTCTCTGTGCCCTCTGTGTCTCTCTATCTGTTTCTCTTTCTGGCTCTTTCTTCATCTCTGTCTTTCTGTCCATCTATCGCAGGCTCATACATGTATGTCTGTCTCGTGCTCTTTTCTCCCCCCTCTCTCTGTCTTTCCCTTCCCCATGTCCCTCTGTCAGCATCTTTCTCTCGCTCCCACGGCATGAGTAAGTGTCCACCTGCCTGGCTATCTCCCTGTTTCTGGTCCTTCCAGCTTGAGTCTATTGGTGGGGGGGAGCAGGGGTCCCTGGCTGGCTGTCAGCCTGTGTGAGGGGAAGGGCTCTGTCTCTGCTGCATGTCTGTGAATTCCAGGTCTGTCTGTATGTCATCTGTGTGTGTGTGTCTGCATCTCATTCTTGCCCCTCCCTCTCTCCTGCAACTTGCAGGAGGAGGAGGAAGAGGAGGAGGAGGGAAGCCCTTCCAGAAGCTGATTGGCTCCCGGTGACATCACTGTTTTCTAGAGAAAGAGCTAAGATCACATAGTATTTTTGGAGCAGAGCAGAGCATTGCACTCACCTGCCCAGGGCCCCAGCAGGTTTCCAAGCTCCCCACCCCCAGCCTGGCTTCAGGCTCTGCTGGTAATGCAGTGCCTCAGGGAGAGGAGGAGAGGGTGCAGCTGCAGCAGGCACCTCTCCAAACCAGGGCACCTGGGGAGGACAAGGCTGCAGCTGCATCCAGGAGCACAAAGGCCAATGCTGGACCAGAGGAGTGGGTGAGCAGCAGATACGAGAGCAAGCAGGAGAAGCAGCACATGTGCACACGTAAGCATGTGTGCACATCTGTGTGAGCACACACAAGCATTGCACAACATATGCAACAACACTTCAGTATAGACTGAGGAGACAGGAAAAACTACAGGCATCTGGGGGTAAGAAGGGGGTCACTCTCAGGTGCCTGGGTCCTCGGGGAGGTCAGAATGGACCACGCAGGCAGGCCCCGTGGCTCCAGAGGCTGCGCGCAGCCAGGAACCTCAGAACAGTGCAGTCTGGCTCTGCAGAATGGGCTGGTGGGATGGAGGGCACTAGGGGCAATGCCAAGAGGTCGGCAGCCTCGACATAGGTTCCTATGGTGCCAGCTGCTAGTTTGCACCCAGCGCCACCTCATTCTCACTGCACAGCAATGAGGCAGCTCCTTCACACCTTCCTTCCCAGTGCCCCAGCCACCAGGCCCCGCCTCCAGCCCAGCCAGCCCTACTCTGAGCAGGGAGCCTCCAGTATGAAACCCTCCCCAAGGCAGCAGGCACCCACTCACTCAGAAGCTCTTCTCAAGGACCCTGTCCATCCCAGAGAAAAGCTGCAGAGAGGACACTCCCAAAGAGGACATGGGGAACAGACGAGATGGCTTCTCTGAAAGGAGGCAGCAGGCAGACATGGCTCAGCCTCCATGCCTCTCTTTCTGGATCCCAAAATATTCACCTGCTTTTCCTCACTACACATACACATACCCACGCAAGTACACACACACACACACGTGTCTGGCATGTGCTCTTACTCTATCACCCACAAGCACTTCTCCCAAAGCCTGATCCTTTCTGAGCCAAGTATGTCCAATACAACACTCTCTAGAAAAGCTCAGGGTGAGAAAAAGGGACAAAGTAATCAAGCTGGCAGTAAAGAGAAAGAGGGGCTTGAGAGAGGGGAAATAAACATTGTGGGGAGCAAACTCAAATCCAGGATGGAGAGATTCAGCAGTAGAGGAAGAGGCACAGATGGGCCTCCTGCGAACCGGACACTTGCCCAGCTGGCCGGGGACAGCACGACAAACACTGGGATGGAGACAGACCCTCAGAGCAGGGAGAACCAGGGGGGTTCTCTGGGGTCTGGGGGAAGCTGGGGACAGAGACCACAAGGGGCACTCTGATCCCTCCCCTTCACAGCTGCCCAGAGAGGGCCAGGATGTCTCCCCCCAGGGGAAAACTGGCCTTGGCAATGGAGAGGAGGTAGGGCACAGTTTGAGGAGGCTATGAGGTGCATACCCTTTTTGAGAAGCCAAGAAACAGTACTTTGAGTCTGGCTAATCTGCATCTTGGGGGTCTGCCCTGCCCACACTGGAGCTAAGCCACCTGGAAAGGAGGAGAAAGCTAGAGGGCAGGAGAGTGAGGAGGCCCCCTGTGGGCTGGCTGACCTTTCCTGACGCTCCACAGAGTACAAATCTCCATTCTCTGGGCCAGGTGATACCCAGTGGGTATCTGAGACCACAGCTGATGGCAGACCTACCGTGGGCCCAGAAGCACAAGGCCTTCCAAGGCCTGGCACAGCCCCACACCCAACACTCACAACCTGGAGCTCATCTACCAGAGAAAGGCTGGAGGAGGAAGGGTCCTAAAAGGGGGAAATGCTCAGAGTAAGAGGAGAGACAGGCAGGTGAAAGGGCCTGAGCTGGCAGGCAAACAGAACGTACCACAATGGCTAGGAATGCCATAAATGTCACTGCATATCTACAATAGCCCCAGGACCAGGATAGCTGTCTCCATGGGGAGGCTATATAGCTTCCCCAAAATGACCCAGGTAACAGGTGCTAGGATCAGGATTCCCACTCTATTCCACCCACTTGTCAATGGCAGGCCCAGGGTACTAAAGCCTTTCCGCCATCACCATACCCTTCCTTGCAGCACTGAGTCAGAGCCCAGCTGCCCCCACCCCACACTCTGAACAGTTTCCAAGAGTTCAGATTCTACAGACCAGGAGGACTACAGAAGGCTCACAGGGTAGGCCTGTCTCAGAAGGGAGCTGGACAGGGGTGAAGAGCCCTGGCCTGAGACCCTAAAGCCCCAGCCTGCATCCTACTGGTGGGCTAGGGATAGGAGGGATGTGTCTGAGCCCACCTCTGTGGCTCATTAGTACAGACCCAGTGGCAGCCTCCTCCTCTTTCTCCTCTGGGCACCAGACTCTCAAACCACAGGCCTGTTGTCTAATAATACCAGCGACAGCCACCACCACCTCCATCTGCCAACCTAAAAATAATCCCTGCTGAGCCCAAAAAAGGCTCGGCCCCCAATAGTCCCCAATCCCTCCTCCTCAACAAGCCAGGAGCTCCAGGAGATCCCAGGGAGCTGGCAGACTTGGCGCTCACCAAGTGGGCGGTGTCCAAGCAAGGCAGGCAGAGGGCTGGCTCCCCTCCGCCCATGCCTGGGTGACGAGCACCCAGAAGACCTGACGAGGAGCAGAGACCCAAACCTGGAACACCAGATGCTCTGCTCTCCTCACAAAGTAGGAGGCCTAAAGGCCCTCTGGGTGTCCCTGTGCTTCTAGGAAGGCCCCCAGTCCTCCTAGAGAGCGTCTCCTCGTCCTCTAAAACATCATCCTCACTGCACTTCCAGTACCCTGCCCACCAAACCTCTGAGAGTTAGTTAAGTCCAGAGTGAGCACAGCCAGAAAACCTGGCAATGTGAACAGCAAGGCACTAGGAGGAAGGGCCAGGAATGGCAAGCTCCCCATTAACCCTTTTGGGCTGGGCTCCCCCAGCAGCCAGGGAGCCAGTGGTGCTGCTTTTAGTGACTTTAATTTGCTCTGCTAGATTGTATTTCCAAGAGCCCTTTCCCCTTGAGCCACTAGCAGGAAGGAAGTCAGTAATCTAATCTCAGTTCTGTTCCTTTAATGGCTCCTCATCAGAAACACAAAGCCACACACCTACCCACACTACCTGCACCCCACCACCTCGGTGGAGGTCTGTCCCCACACTCTGTGTGTCCCCCAAGCAGGCAGGCAGTAGCCTGCAAGGCCACCAGAGGAAGGCACAGCAGGCTGGACCTGCCACAAGGCCAGGATACTGCTGAGGGGCTGACAGGCACCATAATCAACCAGGAAACCGAAGTTCCATATTTACTCCCAGAGAATCACCAACATTCCCTACTCTGAAGCCAGAAAAGGAGGACAGTGACTGACCTCCTGATGTGCAAGTTGCCTGTGTGCAAGTTGCATGGCACAGCCCATCTTGATAGGCACATGTGACCAGGAGGGAGCCCAGGGGACCGAGGGGGGACACAGGCTGGGATGAAGAGAGAGGGGCAGGCAGGCAGGCTGGCTGGGACATCCCTCTTAGCCCTGGCCCCCATGGGTTCTTTCTCCAAAACCCTCACCAAGGTCCCTTATCTGCTTACCACTCTCCTGCTTATTCCTGTAAAACAGCAAAAAAGCAGGAAGATTCCTGAGAAAAATAGGTCAGCGCCTCTGGCAGACCAAGCCCACACCAGGGGTAGTATCCCAGGGTAGGGATTGTCTCAGAGTTGCCTCTCCAGCATCTCCCCCATCTTCCCAGGGACACAGACCTATTCTACCTGAAGGGTGCCAGGCATGGCCATTGATGCCATAGCCTTCCTCCTGGCAAGACAGGCTGTTCTCAGCAAAACCCCTAGCTCAGCCCTGCTTCTATTATTTAGGCTCCGTCCCAGAACCTCAGGCATTCTTCAACGCAGCCCCTGGACTGCAACCACCAACTTTGGAAAGTTCTAGGTCTGTCTCACCTCAGGTGCAGAGCACAGTCAGCTAGAGCATGTGTAGTCTCACTGCCACCCTCAGAACTCAAGAGGATGGCTGCTACCTCACATTTGCAACTAACTCCCCCTGTTGTG